AGGAGGAAGAGAGAGGATGAGGCGGAGGAGGAGGAGGAGAGGGAGGAGGAGGAGGAGGAGGAAAACGAGTCGGAGAAGAGGGAGGCTCTTGGCAGCCTCTTGGGGCACTCTTGGAGCTGTCTGAGAGCTTCCCGAGGGCCTCTTGAGGTGGGGGCCTCCTTGGGCTTCTTGTGGTGTAGGCATGGAGGCGAGGGGTCCTGGAGGCGGGTCCCAGAGGTGTTGCTTCGCAGTTTTCGGGGCCCTGGGGCCCTTCAAGGCCCCGGGGCCGTGAAACAGTAGACTGCGCACCGGCATGGAGGCCCTACGCACCAGCGCTGCACGAGAGGGCACATGGTGAGACACCATCGAGGTGCTCGTGCTCGGCACGGGCACGCCGCGGCACGTGGGCACGGCAAGCCGCGCACACGTTGCGGCACCGTTCGCCACGCGGGCGGCACTGCTCTTGCACTCTACAGCCTGTAGAGCCGAGCGCGGCATGCAGTGGCACGCGGGCGGCATGGCACGCGGGCTGACGGCAAGACACGCGGGCGGCGCGGCACGGCACGGCACGCCACGCGGGCACAGCACGGCACGGCAAGCGGGGGGTCATTGTTCTTGCACTCTAGAAACCTGCCGCGGCACGGTGCGGCACGTGGGCACGGCACGGCACGGCATAGCACGCGGGCGGCCACTGCGTTTGGCATGCGGGAGCCTACGCAACGGCGGCGAACGCACAAGATGGCTACGCGACGCCAGCCAGCAGTCTACAGCGACGTCAGACATGGGTCCTAACGTGTCCGACACATGCGGCTGGACAATACCGCTGCTGCGCCCTGCGAAAACAGCGAGTCTGTCCATGCTGGTTGGGTGGGGCCGAAATGGCCCTCCCTGGCGAATGAAGGGCTTGCTCGCAGCTTGTGGTGTGTGCACCTACGGGTGAGTTCTCCGTTCACGGTGGAGCATAAATACATTTAGTTGGAGGGTGAAAGAGGGGGTCTGCAACAGGGGGTCTTCAATGGGGGCTGAATGGCCCATGTATGCTCAATGTATCGTTCATGTATGTGATCGGGAACGATTGGCATCCAATGTTGGCGGTCATGGAGGGCCAGTCGTTCGTGCCCGCGCGTTGCCCGCGTGGGCACACGCGCCGTCCATCCATTATCGTTCATGCGTGCGGCCGTTCTTGCATTCTGCGCGTGGGGTTGCGAAGTGGAGTGAAAGTGTGTCTTGGTTGTGCGATTGATGATCGCGTATGTTCCCAAGCGATGAACTATCGACCCCCAAGACAGATTTGGAATGGGTCCCGCGACTCCCCCAAAATGTGAATTTACAGTTTCCTTCTTCCCAAAATGTGATTTCACATTCTGGCCCCTTCATAACAATTCCAACACAAAATTCCAAAGTGTGAATTCACATTTTCCTTTTTTCCCAAAATGTGGATTCACATTTTGCTTTTCCCACAATGTGAATTCACATTTTACCCTTGCGTTCAAGATCCCCAAACCTGAGGCGCAGTGTTCCGCATGTCAGATTGGCTGGGCAGATTTTCACACTCACCTCGCCGCTTTCGTTTATTTCAACCTTGTCTTTTTGCGCCCTCAGCGCACGTTGCCTTCGTCGCCTTTCCCGAGCCCCCCGCCCCCTTGCTTCGTTTCCCCTCAAGTCTCGCGCATGGGTGCAGGCGGGGAGCTTCAACTGGCACCCCCGCCGAACACAGCAATCGAGGATGCATCGCCCATTCATGGCCCATAAAGACACCATTTCCGGGACCCTGCGCCCGACCCCCACTTTCACCCTCCAAGTTAGGGGCCGAGGGAACCACCGACTGCGCTTGACGCCGGACACAATTTATCTGAGAAGGACTCATGAAACGATGCGCAGTGGGACGGCACCGCCACTGTGCTTGGAGCCTGGTGGGTTGGGCACGCCTGCAGGGCCACCAACGGCCGAAGGCTCGCACTCGCTGGTGGTGTCGAGGCGTGTGAGGGGGCCGGGGACGCAGCGTCCGCAGCGCCCCCGGATGCGTGAGAAACCTGCCACGGAGACGGCGCACTGTCGCCAAGCTTGCTCAACGTGGTCGGTGTGTGCACAGCCTTGCTGCTGCAGGCGGGCGCCTGTGGCGCTGGCCGCCGCCGCTGGCCCTCGGGTGTCGGTACGTTGGCTCGCGGGCGGCACCTTGGCGCGCGGCCGCGGTTTGGAGGTCCGCCACACTTTTGCTTCAGACTCTGCGGCGCCGTCGCTGCTCGAAGGTGGCGCCGGCGGCCGCCGCAGAAGAAGGGCCGCCTGGCGGAGCCGCGAGGCTGGGCCAGGGCGCCGATCCAGGAGCGGCGGCGCTCGACCGTGCGTGGCCCCGCTGGCGTGAGCAAGCGGGGCGACACCGGCGCCGCGACTCCGCAGCTCAGCAGGCGTGGTCTGCCTCGCGGCCACGCCAGTCGCGAGGCCTGCGCGAGCCGACTGAAGGTGCAGTCGGTCCTGGCGTTGTCTGGGGCGACCCGGGGCCTCGTGGCCCGCTGCTGTCTGTGCCGAGGGGGCGGCCGGCGGCCTCTCCAAGGAGCTCTGGGGCCGTCGGCAGGGCGAGCTTCCGCGCCACAGCTCGCGGCAGCTGCCGCCGGTGCGCTCGACCTCGCGTGGGCGGCCCTGGCCTCTCCAGGGTTGGGAGGGTGTGCTCGGGCTGCTGGCTGGGCGAGGCGGCGGAGGAGGAGGAGGAGGAGGAGGAGGAGGAGGAGGAGGAGGAGGAGGAGGAGGAGGAGGAGGAGGAGGAGGGAGGAGGAGGAGGAGGAGGAGGAGGAGGAGGAGGAGGAGGGGGGGGGAGGGGGGGGTGAGGAGGAGGAGCGACGGAGGGGGAACGCGGCTGCTCGCAGCGGGGTTGTGGCAACGAGCCGGGTGGGATCCCGCTGGGTTCGTCATCGCGAGGCGCTGCAGTCAACCCGCATAGCAAGGATGGGCAACCTTCCCAAGGGTACTCTTGCATCCTTGCCTCCTCGGTCCATCCATGGCCACTTTCATTGGCTGCGGCCCGCTCGAAAAGCTTTGAAATGGGTGTCCAAAGCCCTTGCATCCTTATCGCGCATCCTTCTGTACGGGTTGACTGTATTCAAGCGTTGAGCCAGATGGGACCTTGCCTGGTCGACCATTTGATCGCACCCCGCATGGAAGGCGGTTCTCGCGAGGCACCTCTGGGCTCCTGCCCCAAGTTCGTCGTCCCCGGGTCCTCGATCGCTCCTTTCCTTGAGCCTCTCGTTGCTGTGTGTGGGGGGTGCGGGCAGGGCACAGAAGACGACGAGGAGGAGGAGGAGGAGGAGGAGGAGGAGGAGGAGGAGGAGGAGGAGGAGGAGGAGGAGGGAACATGGATCTCGAGAAGCGAGCATGCGAGAGGGGAGGGCTGGGCCAGCCATGCGGACGGAGGAGCTGGGGCGATGCGAGAAGGGGGCAGGGTGTGGCCCCTGGGCAGGGGAACGGGGGGGGATGGGAAGCATGTGGGGCAAGCGGAAGAAAGACGTGGGAAGTGATAGGAGAGGGGAGGAGACGATGGGGACGCCATGGGGCGAGGGGGGTGGAGAGGGGGTGGAGAGGGGGGGGGAGAGGGGAGGCGTGCCATGGCGCTGCATGCCCCCGCGGCGGCCGGCGACGCGGCGGGACGGAACCGTGCTCCCCGCGCGGCCTTCCATCATGGCGCCGCGGGTGCACCAGGACGGGGCCCACCGGCCGCCCGCTGCGTCGGGGGGGGGAGGGGGGAAGGGGGAGGGGAAGCGATAGCGCTGACAGGGGTCGGGGAGTTGAAGGGTCGGGGGCCACATGCGAACCCTACCCCTACCCCCCACGATTTCTGAGGGGGAGGGTGGGGTTCACTTCGCTTGGGAGCTCCCGAACGAAGTGACCCTCCCCCCCTCAGAAATCGTGGGGGTAGGGGTAGAGTTCGCATGCGGCCCCCTAAAGGGGGGATGGGGTGGGAGGCAGTGGAGACAGGGGAGTGGTTGCGCGGTGAGCCTAGGGACGCAGGTCAGCGGGGAGCCGAGGGGGGAGGCAGACGACACGCCGGCGAGCGCTCCGTCTGGGCGTCTGCCGCTGTCGCCATAAGGCTGCAGCCAACGCCGCGAAGACGAGGTCGCGCTCCCAGCAGATGCCCCCCCCCTTGAGGCCGCTTCAAAGTGAGATCGCTGAGCACCTGAAGGCAGTCGTGTTGGCCACGCGATGTGCCCCGACTCTCTTGCGCTCGCCCTGTCTGGGAAGGAGTTCCACCTCGGGCCCGCCACCCTGCGAAGCTCTTGCCGAGGTGCACCAGACCTTGAAGAGCATGATTCAACCTCCTTGTCCAGTTGACTCCACAGCTCGGTTCTCTCCGCGCGGGCGTCGACCTCTGCGGCGTGCGCGCGGGACTGTGTGTAACGCTCGTGCGCGCGCCCCTCTTCCCACTGCGGCCACCCGCTGCAGTTCCGCGCCCTGTCCGCCCGTCCGTGAGCCAGCCAGTGCCGCACGAGCGCCCACACGAGCGCCGTGTGTTCCATCGCCAATACAACTTCCCCATCCTCCCTCCTCCTGCCTTCACCTCCGGTCGCTCGATCACGCTTCAAACTGTTGACGCTTCTCCTATCTCCACCATTCCATCTGGAAGCAATACTGGGGCGAGTTGCTTTGGTCAGGGAAGTGCAGGGGCATTGAGTGAAGCAGCGAGGGGGATAGCTGTTAAACCGAAGCTCGGGATCAGCCTGAGCAGACCCAGGATTCAGCCAGAAAGCCGGTCGCGGATGTTTGTTCGACCTGGGAGCCTCTTGTAGGTTTCTTGGGGGCCATCTTTGGACACTCTCAGGACGATTATTTTGGAGACCTTGAGGGCTCTCCTGGGGCCATCTCGGGGGCCCTTAGTGCCCTCTTGGAGACATTCTGGATTGCATCGATGAGAATGGAGCCCCCAAAATAGCTTCTCGGGGCTCTTCTGGAACGCTCATGTGGCCTTCTTGGGGGCCTTTGGTGGCTGTCTTCGAGCCCTTCTGGGCTACCCCATGGGCTCCCCTGGAGCGATTCTGAGACCTCAGACGCCCGTGGGAAGCGGCACGGTACCAACGCGCACATCATTGCAGCACTTCAAGTGTTGAGTCATTTTGGCTGCTCGGGGAAATCCTTTGGAGGCTCCGTGGCCACATCTTGTTCTGGGAGTGGTGGAAGCATGTTGGAGGCCGTCTTGAACCAAGCTGCACTATCTTACGCGAGCTTTGATGCCATCTTGGCCTATCCAGGTCCGTCTTGGAACCACCTAGGATAAAGTCGGGCCTGTCCCTCTACTGGAGGAACATTCAAGACTAGTCAAAAAATAGTCAGGGGACGATCTGTTGATTATTTTGAGTATTTAGTTTTCGAGTATTTTTTGAGTATTTTTAGTTTTCCGCCCAAAATACGCCTGTAGGGGGACACGCCCGACCTAAATCTAGGGCCATCCTGGACGCCCCGAACCCTGGAGATCCACGGTCCAGACCCCCGGGGAGGGGGTGCTGGGGAAGGGGTCAAGCTCCCAACGGGAAGGCCACGAGCCTTCTTGCTCATTCCCACCCGCCTCCTCCTCCTCCTCCTCCTCCTCCTCCTCTTCCTCCTCCTCCTCCTCCTCCTCTTCCTCCTCCTCCTCCTCCTCCCCCCTCCTCCTCCTCCTCCTCCTCCTCCCCCTCCTCCTTTTCCGCCTCCTCCTCCTCCTCCGCCATCCGAGGCCGCCATCGGGTGGACAGCCATCGGGAGCCAACACATGCTGCCAGGGCTGTCCTCCCAACGTCTGCCCCCGCGTGTGCAGCCATGTGCTCCTGCAGTGCGGCAGGCGGAGATCGGGTCAGGGACTTGGGCGTAGCGCCTTGCCTCGCCAGCTCTAGGCCATCGCGCCTCGCCGCGACAAGCTGTCCACAGCTGGGTCCCTAGGCGTCAACGCTCCGAGCTTTTCCCAGCCCCCCGCCCCGCAGAGCGGAGCGACACGATATCCGCTCGCCAGGCACAGCGGGTCGCCGCGACACGCTGGGCAGCAGTTCCCGACCGCAGCCGATGGTTCCGTCGTGTGGTCCGCTCCCATCTTCCCCTCGAAAAAAAAAAACGCCATCGGGAGCCCAAACAGGCGCCGGGCCTGCGACGCTCGGCGAGGTGCGTCCCCGCGTGCCAGGGGCGCCGCGCGCACACTGGGTGCGCCGGGTGCCCCAGCGGCGCAAGCGTGCAAAGCGCGCCTGGTGCGCCGGATGCGCCGCGTGCTCCACGCGCGCGAAGCGTGCCACGTGTTCGGGCCTCGGCAGGTGTGCCGGAGGTGCGCCAGTGCACGTGACAGTACAGCTCACCATCAATGTCACCAGCTATTGCAACTTAGCGAGGGGGTGGTCCTCCTTGTGCATAGTGTTTTCTTCCGCAATCACTTCGCACGGCTTTTGGCAGTCATGGTGGGCCACCGCCCAGCTAGACATGGCCCCCCGCCATCCCTGACCCAAACAAGTTCTAAATCATAACCAGCTGCCTGCACATGGTCCAATGCTTGCTTGCTGTGGCGCGAGGACCGCTCTGAGGGTCGTCCGAGCCAGTCTTCCGAACCGTGTCCAGCCTTGGCAACCAGAGCCTCCTGCCACGCCCTAAGCCATCCAGAACGAAGACACCGACGACGACGTCGACATCGCCGCCGCCGCCGCCGCCGCCGCCGCCGCCGCCGCCGCCGCCGCCGCCGCCGTCGTCGTCGTCGTCGTCGTCGTCGTCGTCGTCGTCGTCGTCGTCGTCGTCGTCGTCGTCGTCGTCGTCGTCGTCGTCCTCGTCGTCGTCGTCGTCGTCGTCGTCGTCGTCGTCGTCGTCGTCGTAGTAAGTTCGGATGCCGAGCGCTCTCCGCGCTCGAGCGCTCCCGCCGATGGCCTCCGGGCCCGCCCGCCCGCCGGCTTCCGGCGAGGGCCTCCGGACGCCTTCGGCCCCCGTGCCCGGTGCGGGAGGGGCCGCGGGCCCTCCTGTCCGCCGCCCCGGCCGCCTGCGCTGGGCTGCCTGGCGCGTGGAGGCTCGATGCCTCTCTGCCCTTCAGGGAGGCTCCCACTCCTCCTCCTGCCCCTCCTCCTCCTCCTCCTCCTCCTCCTCCTCCTCCTCCTCCTCCTCCTCCTCCTCCTCCTCCTCCTCCTCCTCCCCCCTCCTCCACCCCGACCGGTCTTTGAAGTGGTCAGGAAGGCCCCCGAGCGGCCTTTTCCCGCCGCCGGCTGGCCGGCGCCCCTCTGGCCGCCCTCGGAGGACGGCTCCCGGCGGGCGCTCCCGCGCCGGCGGAGGCCGCGGCGGGCAGCGGCCGCCCGGCTGCCGCCCTGGCCCGCCGCGGGGAGAGCGCGCGCGCGGGCGGCGCCGTCGGTCGTCGTCGTCGACGACGACGACGACGACGACGAGAAGCAGGACGATGACGACGACGAGGAGGGCGACGACGGCGAGGAGGAAGACGGCGACGAGGAGAAGGACGACGACGACGAGGAGAAGGACGAGGAGGAGGAGGAGGAGGAGGAAGACGACGAGGGTCGACGAGGACGACGACTACGACGACGACGACGAACGAGGACGAGGAGGAAGACGAGGACGACGAGGATGACTACGAGGGCGATCGATGGTAAACGATGGGCCATCGAGAACGACGACGAGAAGGACGACGATGAGGACGAAGACGATCACGACGACGAGGAAGATCGATGTTATGCGATCGGCCATCGACTACGACGAGGACGATGAGGAGGAGGGCGAAGTCGACGAGAACGAGTAGGCTCGGCAGTAGATGATCGACCACGAGGACGACGAAGACGACGGCGAGGGGAAGGACGACGACGAGGAGGAAGACGATGACGTCGACGATGACGCTGACGACGACGACGATCGACAACAACGATTACGACGACGACGAGGACGACGACGCTGACGATCGAGGACGACGAAGAGGAGGACGATCGATGGTAGACGACCGGCCATAGACGAGGACGTCGAGGACGGCGTGGGAGACGACGGCGACGACGACGAGGACCATCGATGGCAGACGATCGGCCATCGATGACGACGACAATGAGGACGACGAGGGCGACGAGGACGAGGACGACGACGACGAGGACGACGACGACGAGTACGAGGACGACGAGGACGACGACGACGGCGAGGAGATGGACGTTGACGTCGACGATCACGAGGATGAATCAGAAGAACAAGAAGAAGAAGAAGAAGAAGAAGAAGAAGAAGAAGAAGAAGAACGGAGGAATAAGAATAACAAGAAACTGGCGACGACGACGACGATGACGACGACGATCGACGACGACGGCTACGACGACGATGGCGAGGACGACGACGGCGGCGAGAAAGACGATGACGACGAAGGCGACGCGGACGATGACCATGACGACGACGCTCGACGACGACGCCTAAGTCGGCGAGGAGGACGACCACGACGAGGAGGAGGACGAGGAGGAGTGGGACGACAACGACGAGGAATTCGAGGGCACAGAGGTTGGCGACGTGGAAGATTGATGGTAGACGCTCGGCCATCGACGGCGACGACGAGGACGACGACGAGGACGATCGAAGGTAGGCGATCAACCATCGACGACGATGACGAGACCGACGACGACGAGGACGACGAGCGTGTCGAGGACGACGACGCGACAATGCCGACGGCATCGACGACGGCGAGGAGGAGAAGGAGGACGACGACGACGAGGACGACGAGGCAGACGACGACGACGATGACGACGACGATCGACGACGATCGACGACGACGAGGATGACGACTGAGAGGACGACGACGACGAGGACGACGATGACGACGATGATGACGACGGCGACGACCATCGACCATCGTTTACTACGAGGACCATCGACGACGACGATCGATGGTAGACGATTGACCATCGACGATGACGAGGACGACGAGGGCGACTAGGGCGATGGCGACGAGGACGAGGAGGATCGATTGTAGACAATCGGCCATCGACGACGACGACGAGGACGACGACGACGAGGACAATGAGGACGACGAGGGAGACACCGACGACAACGACGACGACGAGAACGACGACGATTACGACGACGACGACGGCGATCGACGAGGATGGCGCCGATGAGGACGACGCCACCGACGACGGCGAGGACGACGACGACTTGGAGCAGGACGAGGACGACGACGACTTGGAGCACGACGAGGACAACCACGACGACGACCGATGGTCGACTATCGACCATCGACGGCGACGAGGAGGACGATCGACGTCGACGAAGACGACGTGGACGAGGACGATCGATGGTAGCCGACCGACCATCGACGAGGACTAAGAGGACGACGAGGGCGACGACTACAATGTCGACGACGGCGAGGAGGATCGATTGTAGACGATCAGCCATCGACGGCGATAACGAGGACGACGGGGCGACGAGAACGACGACGAGGACGAGGACGACGACGACGGCGAGAAGGAGGAGTACGACGACGACGAGGACGACGAGGAAGACGACGACGACGACGGCGATGACGACTAGGAGGAGGACGACGAGGACGACGAGGACGACGACGAGGAACACGAGGAAGGCGATGTCGCCGTCCATCGACGATCGATGGTAGACGATCGTCCTTTGACGGCGACGACGACGTCGACGACGACGAAGACGACGACAATGATGATCGACGGCAGACGATCGGCCATCGTCGGCGAGGACGGGAACGACGAGGACGACGAGGTTGAAGACGTCGAGGACGAGGAAAACCAATGGTTGACGACCGGCCATCGACGAGGACGACGAGGACGACGAAGACGATGGCGACGACGACGACGCTGACAACAACGATGACGACGAAGACGAGGACGACGAGGACATTGGTGACATTGACGAGGGTGTGGAGGAGGAGGAGGCGGACGACGACGAGGACGATCGATGGTAGGCGACTGACCATCGACGGTGACGCCGAGGCTGACGACGACGACGGCGACAGCCGAGGACGACGAAGACGTGGACGACCGATGGCGGACGATCAACCATCGACGACGTCGACCAGGACGATGCTGACGAGGACGACGAGGGTGACGATTAGGACGAGGACGATCGATTGCAGACGATCGGCCATCTACGACGACGAGGAGGACGAAGACGAGGACGACGAGGGCGTCGAGGACGACGACGACTTCCGACAGCATCGATGAGGGCGAGGAGGAGGACGACGACGAGGACGACGAGACAGACGACCACGACGACGATGACGATGACGACGACCATCGACGATGATCGACGACGATCGACGACGACCACGAGGACAACGAGGACGACGACGACGTCTAAGAGGACGACGACGACGACGAGGGCGTTGATGAGGACGACGATGACGACGACGACCATCGACGGTCGACACCGACGATGACGAGGACGTCGACGACGATGACGACGACGACGACGATGACTGCGACGAAGACGACGCGGACGATGACTACGGCGACGTCGAGGACGACGATGACGACGATTTCGAGGACGCCGATCGAAGACTACGACGACGACGAGGACGACGAGGGCGACGACGAGGACGACGGTGACGATGGGGATTATGACGACGACGACAATGACGACGGCGAAAAACGACGACGACGATGGTCGACGACGTCGACGACGACGAGGACGACAAGGGCGACGACGAGGACGACGAGGACGGTGACTACGGCGACGACGACGCTCGACGATCGACGATCGACCACGACGACGACGGCGTCGAGGACGACGACGACGATGCCGACGGCATTCACTACGGCGAGGGGGAGGACGACGACGACGACGAGGGCGACGGCGACGAGGACGGTCCTCGACGACGACGGTTGACGTGGAGGAACAGGGGGTTGAGGCGTAGGAGGATGCGGAGGAGGAAGAGGAGGAGAAGTAGGAATAGGAGGAGCAGGAGGAGGTTGACAGTGAGAAGAGCGAAGATGCACCACGCATGCTGCGAGACACCCTCTCTGCTCATGCACTCTTCTGCAGGAGGCGCCCCCTTTGAAAGGCCACCACTCGCTGGCCTCTCCTTCAGGCGAGGGCCCTGTTCTGAGAATGAATCGCCCTACAGTGGGGGCACGCATCAAGAAACCGTATATAGTTCGTCAAGGCATCCTGGGTGTCTTCGCTCCGCGAGCTGCGCAGTGACTTCCCGCGGCCGTTGAAGAAGCTGCTGCGTTCAGGGTACTCCGGGTTTCCCCTCAGGTGCACCTCGCGCACGGGTTTTCAGGGTGGGCTTTCTTGTGAGGGTTTCTTGCGGCCGCGCCCGCACCGTATCTCTTTCCAGGGGTTCACGGGTAGTGCACAAGGGAAGGGACATACACTTCAGCGAGGCGTCCAGCGACATCTCCATTCCGACAGGGGCAGTCCCATCCGTGTGACTGCTGCATCTTCTTGCACCTCTCGCCGTGGGCTCCCGGGAAGTCTCGAGCGAGAGCTCCATGTTGAAGAGAGTCTGGTCTCCGTTCGGGCAGCTATTGCGTATGTACGCGTTAAGTGTATGCAAGGACCAGGTGTCTCACGAGACAGCCAATTTTTGACAAGGAGCCGTTCTCCACCCGTGTAACTGCTGCAGGCGTTTGCGACGAATGTGATGTGCGCCGCGCCGAGGTGGGAGCACCACTTCCAGAAGGAGCCGCCCTTCCTCCTTGAAAGAGCTGCACGGCTTCAAGAAGAAGGCGCGTCGCGAAATGCGCGATCCCCACTCTGAAGTGTAACCCGCCGCCACCCTCGTGGCGCTGAAGGGATCGCCGCATGTCAGACACGACGTTTTCGAAGCTGTTGCGAAGTTTTGAACGGAAGTGCGCGCCGCCAAGGCGAGAGTCCCGATTTTGAGTCCTCCTCCTTTTCCGTATAATTGTTGCAGATTTCAAGCTCCAGGATCAGCAAGTGGCGAAGCGGTCTGAGGCGAAACGTCCTGCCCGCCCCACCGACAGGCCCGGAGGCGCGACATCGGGGGAGGAGTTGCCTAGAAGGAAAAGGGATGGAGGATGTTCGCCAGATGCTCTGACGTGGAGGAGGGGGACGATGAATAATAATAATAATAATATTATTATTATTATTATTAATAATAATGATAACAGGAGAAGAAGAAGGGGATACACGCATATATATATAGCAACGTGACGATGTCAATGACCAAGAAAGACGCTCTACCCCCCAGGCTTCCGCCGTGCAGCTCTTTCAGCTGCACTTGAAGGCTTGGGGGTGACACCTCGGTGGAAACGGTCCAGGTATGAGCTCCTGGTGTCATTGAGACAGTCCGGTCCAAGACACTCCTGTCTGAGCCCCGCTTGTAGGTTGACTGTGTAGAAAAACTCGCAAACCCCACAGATCCATACCTTGAGTGGCATATGAAACAACATCCGATGAGATTCGTGAGCCCACCCCCCAGATAGATGCAGCTTACTCTAAGGCCCCTTAAGTATAGCAGAACCAACTAACTCTAAGGTGCGCACGGAGAGTCAAGCCATTCCTGGAGAGTCGCTCTGGTACCACTACTATTGCACGTAGTGCACGAAAAACCACAATCACTAAGCGTATGAGAACTTCTAAACCTGGCCACTGCAGCTGGGGGAGGCGGCAGCGGGGCACGAACCGACGGGACACAGTCGCTCGCGTCGGGCGCGACTATCTTCGCATCCTCGCGCTCCGCAACCGTGGCCTCGAGGGTCGCTCTGAGAAGCCTCCGCCTGATCAGGGCAACTCGCCCTTCAACCTCCACAACCCTAGCTCGAACAGACTCAGGCAGCCTGCACCTAAGGGCGGCATCGTTGGCGATGGCGTCAGCCGCTTCATTACCATGGATGAGCCAACCTGGAAGATTCCTCTCACACGCCTCACGCGCCTCAAGATGTGACGGTACTTGAAGCACCACAATCTCGCTGGGGTCTCGTCGTCGGAGCAACTCTCCAATCTCTGCCCACAGTCCGTTCATGGCACTCTTCTTCTCGCACAGATGCTGTCTGGCGTGCCAGCCTCGAACAACGTTATCAGAGGTGAATGCAGTGGGCCCTGCAGAACACCGACTGGCCATCTCCAAGCAACGCAGCTCTCCTCTCGGAACGGCTTGGAGCCGCCCCGTGAGGGACCCCCCATAGTTTAGGCCCCAGACTCAGAGCAACAGGATCGGTCATGACCACAAGCCCAAGACCCACGCGCCTCAGGGAAGGAAGCCTGCTGTCGGGGCCTCCAGAAGCGTCTCCGAAGATCAACAGCGGTTTGTCGACCGTACCAGATCCAAGACACCCAGGCCCCACACTGGCCGATCAGATCAGCGCCAACCCAATCCTCGGTAGTGACAGGTGCAGGTGTCGTGGTTAACCTCCTCGGGATGAGACCTCGATACCACATGCAAATGCTACTGTCTCCTTGAGTCAACGCCGAGGGAACCAAACTATCGGAGTCTGAGAAAGCTTTTGTTCCTGTGTTGGCTGGGCAAAGCCATCCCCGATGACGCATGTCCTCTGGTGCTTCTCGGCACCGAAGGCACATGTTACTCTGACAAATGCCAGCCTCAAATTTTCGCTGTCGCGTCCAGCACCCTCCTGTGGCTATGGTAAGCATCAGTTCTGCCAGTTGCCGCCCATGCGGTCCAGCTCTGAGGCGCACCAACAATCGTCGCAAGGAGTCATTGTCTGCACCGTACTCTAAGCCGGTACCATGATGCAGCTGAACCGCTTCTTGCCACTGCTGGTGATCCAGACTCTGTCCAAAATCAAACAAGAAATCACCAGTATCAACGAACTGCCTGTCGATGCTGCTATCAGGGAAGATCCAATCCACTGGTTCGAGCCCAAAACCGTCGGGCCGACTCCAATGCGAAGGTGACTTTGGATCCCATCCAGCGTTGACCAGGTAAGTGCTGACTGCGGAGATCGGCCCGTGCACGTGCCTGCTCCTCTCAGGTAGAGGCTCCGTACGTGCTGAACCGTGCTCTCCCAAACTCGTCGAACGCCAGCTCGAATGAACGGGTAATCGATCCATGTCCGAAGCCACTGGTGTAAACATAACTGCGGCAGCCGTACACCAGGGTCCTGCTCAGGAGCACGCACATCTAACAACGTAGGCTGAGGAGGACGAGGAGGCCGACGACGGCGACCGCCGCCCGCACTGGCCGAGGCCATGGCTGGCGCCGCCGCGGTCCTCGCGGCCAGCGCCGCCCGCCTCTCCAGGAGAGGCCTGGCGGCGGCGGGGCTGGCGAGGATCGATCGGTCGGTCGGTCGGCCGTCGGTCGGTCGGTCGGCCAGTCGTCGTCGTCGTCGTCGTTGTTGTCGTCGTCGTCGTCGTCGTCGTCGTCGTCGTCGTCGTCGTCGTCGTCCTCGTCCTCGTCCTCGTCCTCGTCCTCGTCCTCGTCCTCGTCCTCGTCCTCCTCGTCCTCGTCCTCGTCCTCCTCCTCGTCCTCGTCCTCGTATTCTCGTCCTTGTCCTCGTCCTCGTCGTCGGCGGTCGGTCGGTCGGTCGGTCGGTCGTTCGGTCGTTCGGTTCTTCGGGCGGTCGATCGTCGTCGTCGGTGGGTGGGTGGGTTGGTGGAGGCAGGAAGGAGGGACGGAGGAAGACAAGGGGGATCGGAGCTGAATCGCAGCTGAATCGTGCTGGATCGGAGCTGCATCGGAGGCGGAAGACAAGGAGGAAGACAGGGGGGATCGGAGCTGAATCGTGCAGGAGGTTCCTCCTTGCTTTCGGCCTCTGGCTGCTCGCTTCGGGCTCGGGGGCGTCAGACGTCGCTCTGGCCGGTAGATTGATTGCATAAGAGGTCTCTGGGCGGGGCGGCGTCGGAGGTCGGTGTCCCATCCTCCTCCCTCCTCCTCCGCCTCCTCCTGCGCCTCGTCCTCGTCCACCTCCTCCTCCTCCCTCCTCCTTGTCCTCGCCCTCGCCCTCGTCCTCGTCGTCCTCCGCCTCCTCCGCCTCCTCCAGCGCCTTCTCCTCCTCCGTTCTCTCTATTCTCCCTTGTCCTCCTCTTCCCCGTCGTCCTCGTCGGTGTCGTCGTCGTCGTCCTCCTCCTCCTTTTCCTTCTTCTCCCTCTCCCCCTCTCTCCTACTTCCTCGCTCTCCCATCTTCAGCCATCCTTCCTCCAACTCCTTCCCCTCATCCTCCTCTTCTTCTTCCTCCTGGTCCTCACCCTCCCCATCGTCCTGGATGGGGGAAGTGGATGAGCAGGAAAAGGATGGGGGATCGAGGTCCGAGGACTGATCTGGTTTGTGTTTTCTCTTATTTCCTTTCCTGCCTCTGGGAGTCTCCTCCGTCGCCGCGGTCGGATTCCCTTCCAGCGTTCTGGCCAGAACGCATCCCAGCAGGTGCCCGGAGGTCGACTTTGGAGGACGGGGCGAGGCAGGGACGAGAGGGAGGTGCAGGAGCAGGAGGGGGAGAACTTTGCGGGGCCAAGGCAACCGATAAGGAACTCAAGTTTGATTTTGTGCTGACGCGCCTGCTATACAGTCGGGGCTCTAAAGAAGGAACCCTTTTCGTTGGGGAGGGGCTCCGCGTTACTTAAGTGTTTCGCAGCTTGCCTCAGGTTTTCCTTATGTTTTCGATAGGAAATCGAAGTTTAACTTATGGAAGAAAGGGGCCTCGTTCCTTATTTAGGGTTCCTTAGGTCAACGCCCCGACTGTACACTCACGTTGGCTCGCCAAAAGATGCTACTCGGAGCTTCGCTGGGCATTGCCGTGTGGCACGCTGTGATGCGCCGTGTAGGGCGGACTGCGCGCTCAGTATCAGAGGTACTCCGTGTGGCCCCTGTGGCGCCGAGGACGCTTGAAACATGTGAAAGAGCGTGTTCTACCGCTGCTGGCGGAAAACCGGGGGGGGTCACTACCGGTTCGAACCCCTCCCCCCCCCCCCCCCTCTGGAAAACTGGGGGGGGTCACTACCGGTTCGAACCCCTCCCCCCCCCCCCCCCCTGCTCATCATGAAAAGGGGGGGGGTCACTACCGGTTCGAACCCCCCCCCCCCCCCCCCCCCTCCGGATCCGGAAAACCGGGGGGGGTCACTACCGGTTCGAACCCCCCCCCCTCGAAAACCGAGTGGGGGTGCGGACAGTGGTGGGGACGGTGTTGGTGGGGACAGTGGTGAGGGGATAGCGGGACAGTGGTGGGGACAGTGGGACAGTGGGACAGTGGTGGGGACGGTAGTGGTGGGGACAGTGGTGGGGACAATGGTGGGAACAGGGGGGGACAGTGGACAGTGGTGGTGACGGTGGTGGTGGGGACAGTGGTGTGGGGACAATGGGAATGAGGTGGAAACAGTGGGACAGTGGAGGGTACAATGGTGGTGGGGACAGTGGTGAAGGCGGTGGCGAGGACGGCGGTGGGACAATGGGACAGAGGTACAGTGGGGACAGTGGTGGGGACAGTGGGGACAGTGGTGGGAACAGTGGGACAGCTCAGTGGGACAGCGGAGGAGTCAGTGGGACAGTGGGGACAGTGGGGATAGTCGGGCAGTGGTTGGGGCCGTGGAGACAGTGGGGAGAGTGGAACCGTGGTGGGAACAGTTCTGGGGACAGCGGGGACAGTGCGACAGTGGTGGGGCCACTGGTGGGGACAGTAGGGGCGGTGGTGGAACCAGTGGGGACAGCGGTGGTGAGGACAGTGGTGCTGGGAACACCAGTGGGGGATGTGATGCGGACGGTGGTGGGGACCGGGAGTCGTTTGCTGGCGGTGAGGGGTGGGGGGGGGGGGGGTTCGAACCGGTAGTGACCCCCCCCGGTTTTCCGGAGAGGGGGGGGGGGAGGGGTTCGAACCGGTAGTGACCCCCCCCGGTTTTCGAGGGGGGGGGGGGGGGGGAGGTGTTAGGGGAGGGGGGGGGGTTTGCCAGGGGAAGGGGGGGGGGGTTTGGGGGGGGGGTGGGGGGGGGGGGTCCCAGGAGGGGGGGGGATTTCGGAGGGGGGGGGGGGGCGACCCCCGGGTTCCGGAGGAAAAGGTTGGCAATTTTCCACAGTAAAGCGGCGGTGGATCACGCTCTCTCAAACATGTTGGACCACCCTCTCCGCCCCCGCAGTTTCATTCGAGAAGGGTCTGCCGACCGCATGCTCGACATCCCTCGGAGGGCCTGGCGCACGCGCCAGACGCATTTCCGCGCAAGAGCTGGTACGTGTGAAGAGTCGGGCGATCGCATGCTCGACCTCTGCGGGCCTGGACACGTGGAACCACGTGAGAATTGCTGCAAGTGCGAGAGCCAGACGCAAACTGTATGTCCCCTCCGCGCACGTATCTTATGTGTGCAGAACCCGGCGGCACCAAGTTCGACATCCAACATGTGGTGCTTTTGGCGCCGAGCACATGTGAACACACATGCCACATGCATGGATACCTCATTTCCGCGCATGCAAATTCACGTCTTCGAATCCCACGCCACCTGCTCGACACCCCTCTTGTCCGCTATAAGAGAAGCCCATGCTGGAGCCCTTGCCAGGAAAAAGTGAGGGGGATGCAGACAGGGGATGGGGAGACGATCATACGGATGAGGCCCCCGGGGGTCCATAGTCTGCTGGCTCGACTGCAGGCATGAGCAGAGGGACGAGGAGGATGAGGACGATGTTGACGATGTTGATGATGATGACGATGATGATGGTTATGCTGATGATGACGATTATGATGACGATGATGATGATGATGATGATGATGATGATGATGATGATGATGATGATGATGATGATGATGATGATGCCGAGAGAAACTCGTCCTCAACAATTTGGAGCCTGAGCCGAACGAACTGCTCGACACTGTGACTGCCCATGTCGACTGGGCGTCAGCAAATAAGCATTTCTTGTACGCCACGGATTTGCAAATACGGCATGACGTTTTATGTGGACATGCCGAGCTACGTGGGTCGAAGTACGAGCAGCTCCTCACGCGCGTGTTAAAAATAATCGTTGACCATATGGGCCGTGGATGGTTGCCACCGCACGCCAACCAAGACTTCATACAATGGTGGAGGCGTGTTCATAACAACGTCGCCGCGACGGTTTGGCAGACCTTGCAATCGACAGGCGGTGCACGTGGACCAGGAGATATCCTACTACGATACAATGTGGCATGGCCAACGTGGTCATCTAAACGGACGGGGGGGTGCTTCGAGAAGGAGACTGCGCGGCAGCATCTTTCATCATCGGGCTCTGGGGCAAACGAGAAGGCGATGAGCACGGTGATTACTTCTATGAGCCGTTGGTTCTGCATGGCAGAAGCTGTAGTGTTAAATGAGGCCTCCTGTGAGGCAACAACCCGATTGGAGACCAGTAGAACCATATGACATGTTAGGCTTCTTGAGCTGCGACAGAGGCAGCATATGATGATGCAAATGATGCTGATGCTGATGAGGATGGTGATGATGATGACGGTGGTGATGCTCATGATGCTGATTCTGATGATGAGGATGATGTTGGTGATGCCGCTGATTGTGATGATGATGATGCTGATGAGCCCGATGATGATGCTGATGATGCTGTTTATGACGATGACGGTAATGGTGATGATGGTGAAAATGTTGATGTTGATGTTGGCGATGCTGCTGACGACGATGATGCTGCTGATGATGATGCTGATGAAGATGGTGAGGATGATGATGATGCTGATGCTGATTCTGAGGATGATGATGCTGGCTATGCTGATGATGCTGATTCTGATAATGATGGTGGTGAGGATGAAGGTAAGGATGAGGATGAGGAGGAGGAGGGGGACGGTGAGGAGGAGGAGGAAGAGGGGGAGGAAGGCTTCCTAGAAGAGCGCGTGGGCCCAGCACTACCAGCAAATGGGCCGCTCATCGTCTGCACGTGGGCTGATGCGCTCGAGGCGGGAGGCGGGGAGGGGACGGGAGGCGGGGAGGGGCCAAGGCGCCTCTGGGATGCGGGTCGCACGGGCGACCTTGGAGACGCTCGCGCCACACGCACAGTCCTCTTCCCCCCTCGCCCCCCTGTCCCTCCCTCTCGTCTGCCAGCCGCGGGCGTGAGCCGCGTAGCGTTCGGGCCTCGCGCCATGCCTTTCTCTCGACTCCTCTTCTCCTCCTCCTCCTCCTCCTCCTCCTCCTCCTCCTCCAGGTTCTTCTTTTGCTCCTTCTTTTGCTCCTCCTGCTCCCATTCCTGCTCCTTCTCCGCCTTCGCTTCCTGTGCTGTGCCCCTTACCCTCATTAATCCGGTGATGCGGGTCACCCTCCGTCGATCTTCATGGCACGGTGGCGTCATTCAAAACCGCATAGTCAGTCTTTTGTTATCTTTCTCTTTCGTTTTTTTGTTCTCTCTCTCTCTCTCTCTCGATGTATAGCACTTATGGGTGTCTGTATGCCTGGTTGTTAGTCTGTATGTGTATAGTTAGGTCTGCAGTTATGTATGTATGTATGTATGTATGTATGTATGTATGTGTGTGTGTCTATATGTTTGCGCGTAGTTGTGTATGTGTGTATGTATGTGAGTATGCATGTGTGTGTGTCTGTCTGTCTGTCTGTCTGTCTGTCTGCCTGTCTTTATGTATGTATGTATGTATACATGTATGTATGCATGCAGGTATGTGTGTGTGTGTGTGCGCAGGCATGTATGTATGCATGCATGTGTGCATGCATGTATGTATGCATGCGTGTATGTATGTAAGGTTGCTGATGTGTTTGGGTGTTTGTGTTGTATATACATACATGTATCTCCCTGTGTATGTACGTATGCATGCATGTATGTAGGCATGCATGTAGGCATGCATTCATGTGTGTGTATGTGTAGGTATGTATGTATGTAGCACGCATGCATGCATGCATGCATGCATGCATACATATATATCTACGTATGTATGTATGTATGTATGTATGTATTGTTGTATACGTGTACGTGTGTATGTATGTATGTGTGTATGTATGTGTGTATGTATGCATTTATGTATGTATGTATGTGTGTGTATGTATGTATGTATGCATGCATGTATGTATATGCGTGTGCCTGTCTGTCTGTCTGTCTGTCTGTCTGTCTGTCTGTCTGTCTGTCTGTCTGTCTGTCTGTCTGTCTGTCTGTCTGTCTGTACGTACGTGTGTGTCTTACGGGCCCTGGCCGATGCGGGAGGACTGGACCACCCCCTCCGCGTTCTCTGCTGGCGCATCTCCGATGTCTGCACAGAGCTTCCACACCTGGATCCCATTACCCCCTCCCCGTGCCCCACTACCATGCCTCCTTGGTTCCACATCCCCTGCCTTACTTGGGTACGCGCGCCCGAGCGGTTTGCCAAGGAGAAGCAGACGAGTCGTTCGACATGCAGGCAGGGCAGGAGGGAGAGGAGAGCAGGTCTGTAGTGTGGCCTTCTTCCACATAACCGCCTGCTGCTGCGATCGCAGCGGCTATGGTAGATGCTCTGGTAGATCATTTGTATTGGACGCTGTCGTGACCGACCACCCCACACCCAACCAGAGCGTGATTTTCGAACGTACGCAGTGATCCGCGTGGGTGCTGGTACTTTTAAGATTTGGGTAGATGTTCACATGCACGTCGCATTGTGCTATTTTGGTGTACAGGCTTCCTTACGTGCCAACAGCAATGTTTGTGCGCGTGTGGGTGTTCTAATAATGTTTTGATGTGCTGTGAGCACATGATTCCGATTGCGGTGTCTTTTTCAAGGTTTTGGGCGGGTGAGCTTCTGAAGCGGAGGATTGGAGGCGAGGCGGTGAGATCGCAGTGGGACGGGAACGGTTTCAGTTTCGTGTTTGCGTCGTGCGCATGGGCGAGGCGAGGCTGCGTGGGGCGGGCGAGAGTCACCCTCCTCTGGCTGGGGCGCGGCCGGACAACAAGACATGACCTCCCCCTCCCCCGGGCTGGCTGGTAGTTGTCGGGGGTGTCCCGTCCGTCGGTGTCTCGTCGGTGTCTTGTCGGTGTCCCGTCGGTCTTCCGTTGCAGTCCCGTCGGTGTCCCGTCGGTGTCCCGTCCGTGTCCCGTCCGTGTCCCGTCGGTGTCCCGTCGGTGTCCCGTCGGAGTCCTGGCGGTGTCTCGTCGGTGTCCCGTCGGTTTCCTGTCGGTGTCCCGTCAGTGTACCGTGTTGTCCCGTGGTGTCCCGTCGGTGTTCCGTGGTGTCCCGTGGTGTCCCGTCGGTGTCCCGTGCTGTCCCGTCGGTGTCCCGCGGTGTCCCGTCGGTGTCCTGTCGGTGTCCTGTCGGTATCCCGTCGGTGTCCCGTCGGTGTCCAGTCGGTGTCCCGTCGGTGTCCTGTCGGTGTCCCGTCGGTATTCCGTAGTGTCCTGTGCTGTCCTGTCGGTGTCCTGCGGTGTCCCGTCGGTGTTCCGTCGGTGTCCAGTCGGTGTCCCGTCGGTGTCCCGTCAGTGTCCCGTGGTGTCCTTCGGTGTTGCGTCGGTGTCCCGTGGTGTCCCGTCGGTGTCCTGTGGTGTCTCCTCGTGGGATCGATATTGAGATAGATTGGGAGATCGATTGTCAGATCGATTGTGAAATCGATAGTGAGATCGATAGTGAGATCCATAGTGAGATCGATAGTGAGATCGATAGTGTGATCGATCGACTGAGATCGATCGAGTGAGATCAATCGAGTGTGACCGATAGTGAGATGGATAGTGACATCGACGGTGATACCGATCGTGAGATCGATTGAGTCGGATCGACCGAATGGTACCGATGGTGAGCTCTATCGTGAGATCGATAGTGAGATCGGTAGTAAATTCTTGACGCTTCGCGTATCCCCACCAGCCCATCCAGAAACGACGCCCAGGCGAGTAGAGGTGATCATGGAAGCGGGGCAGCATACAGAGGAACAAGGGGCTGGGGAGGCCGTCGTACCCCAAGGGGGGGGGGGATGGAGGAGGAGTCGGAGGTGGAAGACTTGAAGAGGAGGAGGATGATGAGGGTGGGGAGGGAGGAATGAGGAGGAGGAGGAATAGGCGGATGATGATGTTGATGTTGATATTGATGATGCTGATGATGACGATGATGGTGGTGGTCTTGACGATGGTGATGGTGATGGTGATGGTGATGGTGATGGTGATGGTGATGATGATGATGATGATGATGATGGATGATGATGATGATGATGATGATGATGATGATGATGATGATGATGATGATGATGATGATGATGATGATGATGATGATGATGATGATGATGATGATGATGATGATGATGAGGGAGGAGGAGGAGGATAAGGGCGATCAGAAGAGTCAAAGGCCTCTTGAATGCCTCGCGGAGTCTCTTGGGATGTCTCTTGGGATACTCTTTGAGGTCTCTTGGGGCGTCTTGGGGGCCTCTTGGCGGTCCCGGGAGCTTCTTGGACCGTCTTGGGTGCCTCGTGGGAGCCTCTTGGGGCCTCTTGGGGGCCTCTTGGGGGTATTTTGGGGGACTCTTGGAGGCCTCTTGGGGCCTCCTGGTCGCCTCTTGGGGCCTCCTGGGCGCCTCTTGAGGCCCTCTTGGGGCGCTCTTGGGAGCCTTGGGAGCGCTCTTGGGGCCATCTTGGAGGTGATCGATCAAAGGAAGGGGGTCCCTCAATTAGCCTCCCCCCTCGGGAGTCTCCCAAATCGGCCAAAACCCTAGTAAAACCGATGATTTTGGCTTCCTCGCCGAGGCCGTTTTGGACGCTCTAACTACCAGCGGCCCCCCCCGTCCAAGTCCAGGGGAGGGGGTTAGGGGGAGGGGTAAACCCCTCCCCGAAGGGGATGAAGGAGGTTGGAAGAGGAAACTCCCGGAACCACCTACGCCCAGAGGGCTGGTGGGACTCGTTTGGTACCGATGGTGAGCTCTATCGTGAGATCGATAGTGAGATCGGTAGTAAACTCGTTAGTGGGATCGACAGTTAGATCGATAGCTATTGAGATCGATAATGGTACCGATTGTGAGATCGATAATGAGATCGATAGTGAGATCGATCGTGAGGTCGATCGTGGGATCGACTGAGTCAGATCGATAGTGAGATCGATCGTGGTATCGATCGTGAGATCGTTAGTCTGATCGATCCTGAGATCGATAGTGTGATCAATCATGATATCGATAGTAATATCGATAGAGTGAGATTGGTAGTGAGATCGATAGTGAGATCGAGCTTGAGATCGATGCTGAGATCGATAGTGAGATCGATTGAGATATTGATATTGTGATCGGATAGTGAGATCGATTGTGAGGTCGACAGTGAGATCGACGGTCATATATACACAGTGGGATCGATAGTGAGTTTGATCGTCATTTCGATTGTGATATTGATTTTAAGGTCGATTGCGAGGTCGATTGTGATATCGATAGTTGGATCGATCGTGGGATATATACTACGATTGATTGTGAGATCGATCGTGAGATTGATAGTCAGATCGTTCGAGGAAGATCGATCGTTTGAGATCGATCGTGAGATCGATAGTGAGACCGATCGAGTGAGGCGTTGGTTTCGCCCCCTCGGAAATCCTCATCACCTGAAGGGTGGTTGTATAGGTCTATACTCCAAATCCCTTACTCATCGCCCCCCCAAAAAAACTGGACCCCCCCTCCAAATGCGACCTAATATTCCGGACCCCCCCCTTCGACGGGGCGCCTTGATAAGCCGGACCCTCTTAGCTCCAACCCAAAGAAAGCGCCCTAATAGACCAGACCCCCCCCCAGTTACAAACAAAAAGGCGCCTTAAAAGACCGGGCCCGGGGGGCGATTCATAAGGGATTTGGAGTACGGCGCGTCAGCCTCGCTGAGATGCTGAGCGAACGGGCGGCCATGCCAGTGGACGGCGTGTTCCCCCCCCCCCCAAGCTGTTCGGGGCGCAGCCGGGGCGAGGGGACCCCTCGTTGCCGCCCCGGGGTGCTTTTTTGGGGGCCTTTTGCTCGCAGGCCTAGAGGCTGACACCAACACCAATATTCGTTGACTGCAATCGGTGCAGTTACGCCAGGGTGCGGTTTGCGAGTTGCTTTGTGGCGGCCTTTCCGGGACCTTTGTGAGAGACAATGTCATAGCTGTCGTCGTTTCGAGCGACACTGTCATCCTCGATGTGTGCTCCACTGTACTAGAAGGAGCGTCAGTGTCATGCGATTCGGTCGCATTGAGTGACGCTGTCATCCGTTTCCTGGGGGCGGGAGGGGCAGATATGACGGGTTGCAAACCGCACCCTTCGCAAACCGCACCCATTGTAATCGCCGAAATATCGGCGGTGTGCCTCCACCGAGGGAAGCAGATCCCGATCTCGGTGATGGTGGTAATCATTCTGGCTTCCAAGGTGGCCGAAATGTTACCATCGACACCGAAATCTAGGAGCATCTTCCGCTGTGGAGGCAACCCCCTGTGTTGGTGTTGGTGCCCTTTTCCAGGCCTCCGATTCTGGGCCTTGGTGGGGGCTTCCCAGGGGCACTCCTGGGCCGTCTCGGGTCGATCGCCCACCCGGCTTCTCGACTCGAGATCCCGGGGCGCTCCTGCCGTTCTCGTCTTGCCCTCTCCCCTCGAGCTCGGCCGCGTGCCCCGCAGAAGAAACAGCAGCATAAGCATCTACGTTCGGAGGTCCACGCGAATGGCTTGGACCTGCGCGCTGGTAAGGGGCCACGTGCGAACCCTCCCCCTCAGAAATCGTCGGGGGATAGGGGTAGGCTTCGCGTGTGGCTCCTTAGCTGGACCCCCGCGGCGGCGCCTCTGGCGCCGCCCCCATGGCGCGCTCTCCGCGCGCCATGGGCTCGAGGTCCGGCGCCGACTCGGGGGCCCCGCGCGCGGACCGTCGATGATCCTCAGGACGTGTGTTGGCCCAATGGGCGGTTGCACCCTGCTCCTCCTCCTCTTCAACTTCCTCCTCTTCCTCTTCCTCTTCTTCTTCCTCCTCATCCTCCTCCTCCAACTCCTCCTCCTCCTCCAACTCCTCTTCCTCCTCCAACTCCTCCTCCTCCAACTCCTCCTCCTCACACTCCTCCTCCTCCTCCTCCTCCTCCTCCTCCTCCGCCTCCGCCTCCGCCTCCGCCTCCTCCTTCTTCTCTTCCTCCTCGCCCTCCTCCTACTCCTCGCAGCCAATGGCGGCACTCATTGCGCCGCCCGCGTGGTATTGCAGGGCTTCGGTGGACAACTACCCAGATGCGATGTCGTGATTTTTTCAGTGCGGTGTCCGCGGGAGTCCCGACAGTTTCCCCAGGGCCAGCTTCCATCGCGAGTCATTTTCTGACGGTCCCAGGGCCCGGCGAGGGCCCCCGGAGGCCGTTGGGACGCGAGCATGTCCAGGCACACGTTGGCGCTAAGACACGTTTTGAGAGTCATCGATCGGGGCTCTCCGAGGCCGCCCTGTCTCGAAGCGATGTCCCCCGAGGGCAGCGCCCCGTGCCTCTCCCCCGACGCGGTCGGCGCGGCCAGCCCGGCCGCAGCCGATGCTGAGGGCGCCGCTCTGAGCGGCGGGCGAGGAGGCGGAAGCCCACGCGCAGCGACGCAGCCGGCGGCGGAAGAGGCCGCGTGCGGGCGTCGCCAGGAAGGGAGGCCGGTCCCCAGAGGAGCGGGCCCTGGGTTTTTCTCATCGTCTTTGGCCTCCTGGGCCCGCCGCGGAAGCCCCTGGGTCCAGGCCCTGTTTCCCTGGGCCTCAGGGAAGCAGGGAACCATTGAAACACCATTTCTTGACATGGTTTGGTTTCAAGGGCCAGAGGAGGACATCGCAATTATAACCCTGAGGACCCGCTTCCTTTGTGCTCAGGTCCAGGATGCGCTGAAGAGGATCGAGGAGACCCAGGCCTGGGCGACGCGGCTGGTCGCGGGCACCACCTCGTTCGACCAGACGTGGGCCGACTTCCAGGCGAAGTTCGACCGCCTGTTCGAGCTGGGGGCCAAGAAGCTGGCGGGCCACCAGGAGGAGCTCCTCCGCCCCCCGCCCTCTCCACCTCCTCCTCTCCCTGCCCCGCCCCTCCCCGCCTCCGTTTCCGCCCCCCTCGCCTCCAGCACTCCACTGCAGTGAACCCGCACAGTAAGGATGAGCGACTTTCCAAGGTCACCCCCCTTGCATCCCTGCCCCTTCGGCCCATCCTTAGCGACCTTCGCCAGGCAACCTCGTTCGAAAAACGGTAGCGTGGCCCACCCAAGGCCCTTGCATCCTTACCTTCGGATGCAACTTGGGAGGTCAAATTCTGATTTTGCCCTGGTCCGAAATCCAGTTTAATCCGGCTTAATCCCGCTTAATCCGGCTTGATCCCGCTTAATCCCGCTTAATCCGGCTTAATCCCGCCTAAGCCGAGGCCCACTCTGGCGTCAGAGCCCCCCAAGGGGGCTTAATCTCCTTTATCCTTCCGAGGAAGACCTCCCAGTAGTTGCCTCCTAACTTACCGCGCATCCTTCCTATATCGCTTGACTGCATGTCCTGGGAGCCTGTCCTGCTATCGGGTCCGATTTCCCGTGGACAGGCACGTGGTGCCTATCGGCAGCTCTCCGTTGGCAATTCCGCCTCCTCCTCAGCTCCCTGACGTCGTGATTTTTTGCCACAGCGTCTGACCCCCAGAGTCCCGGACCTCTTCCCCAGGGCCCGTTCTTCGCCCCGAGCCGTCTTCTGCTGGCCCTGGGGCACGGCGAGGGTCCCCCAAGGGGCCGAAGATGGCGCGAAAGACCTTCCGCCCGTGACTTTGCCCACGGCGCGAGGAGGAGGTCCGGGCATTCCGCCTCCTCCTCCTCCTCCTCCGCCTCCTCCTCCTCCTCAATCTCCATCTCCTCCTCCTCCTCCTCCTCCTCCTCCTCCTCCTCTCCTCCTCAATCTCCATCTCCTCCTCCTCCGCCCCCTCCTCCTCCTCCTCCTCTCCGCCTCCTCCTCTCCTCCTCCTCCTCCTCCTCCTCCTCCTCCTCCTCCTCCTCCTCCTCCTCCTCCCCCCTCCCCTGCAACCTCTCGGGCGCCCAGGGCGGTGCACCCATATTCCCTTGACCCAGGCTCGGTGCTCGATGGGGCCCCGCAGCCGCCGCTGCGGCCGCCCTCCCTCCCCGGCGGCGTCCTGGGGATGCCTCCCCCCCCCGCCTCCCCGCTCCCCCACGGCGGCCCCTGGGGCACGGCACGCTGGCTCCTCGGCGCAGCCCCCCGGGAGCCGCCCCGCCCCGAGAAGCTGCGCCCCCCCGCCACCAGGGCTCGCTGTCCTTCGAGCCTCTCGCAGCCACGGTGGGGGGCGTTTGTGGAGGACTGTGCCCAGGAAGCCTCAGACCCTGGGGGATCTCTCATCTGATGATGGCGGCGGTAATGTCCACGGCCAAGCCTCAGTTGATGCTCCACCCCGCCCCTCAGACCGTGGGTTTTCTTGCCCGAGGGCTCCTCGTCCAATGCCTCGCGAACCCCCCCGTCCAGGTCCAGGGGAGGGGGTAGGGATAGGGGTAACCCCCTCCCCGAAAGGGAAGTAGGGCCTTTTGGAAGAGGAAAGACATCGTTAGACCACCTGCGCCCAGAGGGCTGGTGGGATTATGTTTTCTTGGACTTCGAGTTTTGGTTTCTCGGCATCGAAAACAGTGTTTCTTGAATTGAAGAAACCAGATTCCCATGGGGGGCCCCCTAACGTCATGGCGCCTGGCCCCTATCAGCCAAACAGGTGTGTGTGTGTGTGTGCGTGTTTGAATGAACACATGTGACCGAAAGCGCACCCGAAAGGGTGACCGCAAACGTCGTGTGACCGAAATGGTGACGGAAACTGCTATTTGTCGGGGCTCCGAACCAGTCTGTTCGGTCACACGCGGGTGCGGTCGGACGATTTCGGGCGCCAGCTTCGGCTACCCTCGGGCAGACTTCCGGGTCGATTGTCGGTCGCTGCACCCCCCTGGCACGGACGAGGCTGCGTGACAGAACGGTGCGGTGACCACGCCGTGTGGTTCGTCAGCGGAGTCGCGCGCTCTGCACCCTCGCAGCTGGGCCGAAGGAGCTGCGGCGGGCGGGCCGGGCGGGCACCGGTGCGGGCAGGCAGGGCGGGTGGGCACTGACGGGCGGGTCTGGCGGGCGGGCTGGTCGGGATGGATTTTGTGATTCTCCGAGTATCGGGGGTTCATCGCCAAGGGCACTGGCGCATGGGGCGCCAGGCTCAGGCAGTGGCGAGGCGTCCTGGCTCGCCAATAGCCACCAGAGAATGTTCTAGGGACCTTTTGTGGTATGCACGAACATTTTCTTGGGACATTTCTGGCTGACGCTGTTTTGCTTTGGCACATCGGGCTCATATTCTAAGAACATGGTTTTGACCTTCGAACATTTTGGGTTCTAAGAACATGTCGTGGTAGGCCTATGGGAATGCCAGGACGGCCGGTCCCTGCTCAAGAGACGCACGGTCTTGGGACCTGGGGAGTGCTCCGAGGCTGGCCTCGCACGACGGAGCCGCCCGGGGTCCCCAGAAGACCGGCTGGCCCTGGGACGAACAATCCAACGTTGACCCCCAGGAGGCCCGAAGAGGCCCCGACGAGGCGCCTCGAGGTTCCCAAGAGGCCCCCCAAGAGACCCCAAGAGGCCCCCGAGAGGCCGCGTCGGCGGGCCGCGGTGGTGAGGCCCCCCGGGGATGCGGAGAGGTCGCCGCGCGGCCTGCGCAGCGCAGGGTCCTTCTGTGAAGTGAAGCTCGCGATCACCCTGCCAAGCTCTAGGCCTCCTATCGTCGGCGAGCGAGGGGGGGAAGTGTCAGCTCTGAGCAGGAGCAGTGAGTAAAACATCGAATATTTTTTTAATTTTATTTTTAGTTTCAGTGATCCTTTCAAGGTCTCTCGAAGCTGACCTCTTCAATGGCCCCAGCCCGCGCGTCGCGCCGGCCTTGCGTTCGCATTGCCATGGTTTCTAGTTGTCCCCCTTTCGGCAGCGAGCTGGGGGGGGGGGAAGTGAGAAGGAGAAGGCTTTCTCAGAAGGCGGCGGGACTTCTCAGAAGTCCTCGCACCTCCTGAGAAGTGTTCTGTGTCTTCGGGGAAGGCTTAGAAGATTTCTCAGCAGGCCGGGGGGCTTCCGAGCCTTCTGAGAAGGCCCGCCCCTTCTCACTCCCCCCTTTGAGTCGGGCCTGTCCCTCTACTGGAGGAATATTCAAAGATTGCTAAACCATAGCATAGTCATGGGACGATTTTTGAGCATTTGTTGTTCATTTCTGAATAGTTGTCGCCTGTTTTTTATTTCTCGTCCAACATCCCCCTGTAGGGGGAGACGCACGACTTAACCCCAGGCTCGCCGCCGATCTAGGCCTCCTGATAGGGTCCGGGTAGATGGGGTCGGAGGATTGCACCGCGTCGCTGATGCATCGACGATGCGGCTCGACGTGGGGTCCGATGTTCCCCACGCCGACGTCGCGGATGCGTCGCTGGAGTCGCCGATGCATCGCCGATGCATCGGCGATGCATTGCCGATGCGGCGCGATCCTTCGACCCTATCTACTCGGACTCGATCTAGGATGCCTCTACAAGCGAGGACCAGCTCCAGTGGACCTCCGAGCAAGCTGCTGCGCACCGCATCGTTCTGCGACTCCTCCCCTCCTGGGAAATTAGATTCAGAATCGGCGCTGGTATATCCCTGGTCGAAAACTTGCTTAATCTGGCTATCAAACTTAATCCGGCTTCATCTGGCCAAATTTCGCTTCATCCCGCTTACTGCGGCTTCGTTCCATTTGTAATACGGTCGAATTTGGCTCAATGGCCCCTTGATCGGGCTTAGTAGCCTTTAATCGTTCTGTCGTAGACCTTCCAGGAATTGCCTCCTACACTCATGGTAAATAAGTAATGCAACTTTGGCAGGTGTCGAAGAATCGTCTGGGGGACTTCCCTGGGAGTCGTTTTTCATCCAGAGTCCGTTTCTGGGGGTCCCAGGGCCTGCAACGGCCCCCGCAGGCCAAACATTATTACGAAAAACCGCAGGCGACGACAACAAACCACTCGACGATTAAATTTGTATTCTTTTCCAGGGCAGTGTAAGCAAAGAGCTGCCTCCTATTGCAAGCCTGGAAGAGATCCTTATCCCCACGATTGGCATCGTCTCCTTCCGACGCCGATCTTAAATAATACCCCTAGTTTTCGAGGGCGCATCTCTAAGATTGGCATCGCCTTAGGGTGATGGGCTTGTTTTCTACCACCACCACAACCATAAGTTGGAGGGGGAGGGGGTCCTCCTCCTCCTCCTCCTCCTCCTCCTCCTCCTCCTCTTCCTCTTCCTCCTCCTCCTCCTCCTCCTCCTCCTCCTCCTCCTCCTCTCCGTCCTCCTCCTCCTCGTCCTCCTTCCCCCCTCCAGCTTCTCTTGGTGGTGGTGGACAACAGGCCCCTCCTCGGGGTAAGTTCGAGGCTGGTGTTGTCCTCACACTCCCCCCCCCGCGGCGCCCCGCCCGCAGGAGCAGCCCGCTCGCCCCGCGGAGGCCGTCGGACCGCTCCGCGTGGCGCAGGCCCTGCGCCGGGCCGCGCGGACCGTGGTGCTGACCGGCGCGGGCGTCTCCGCCGAGGGCCGGGGCCCCGCAGGCGGGCGGTGCCTTCTGTAGGAGACCACGCGCGAACCCTACCCCTACGCCCCACGAGTTCAGAGGGGGAGGGTGGGGTTCACTTCGCTCGAGAGCTCCCGAACGAAGTGACCCCTACCCTCCCCCTCAGAGATCGTGGGGGGTAGGGGGTAGGGTCCGCGCGTGGTCTCCCATTCTGGCCACGTCCGCGGCAGCCCAGAGTTTGGGGCTCCCAGGAGCAGAAGCCCGCGGCGCACTGGATAGGGATACAGAGCGGTCCCCCAGGTGCTCGATGTTTATCCGTATGCAGTGCGCCTCGGCCTCGTGGCGCCCCTTCCGAGAAGTCCAGAACGCACTGGACACGGATATGAATCTCGCCCCCGCACCGTAGGCCAGGCCGCTGCGGGTCATGACTCTGCCAGTGAGGCACAAGGTTGGGGGGGGGTAGGCTCCCATGCTTTGCCGATAGGGGCCCGATAGCCCACCCTGCCCAGCAGCGTGCGGATTCGCTGTCGGTAGCATCTCGCCGACCTGTCGGCGATATGTCGCCGATTCCAGCTCGATGTTTTCCTCTCTGAGCTGGTCCCTCCCTAACACTGCCCCTCATGCAGGCCCAGCGGGAGAGACAAGGAGAATGGATGATATCTGGGCTCACGCGTGGCTTAATTCTCAGAGTCCAAGCGTACACATTGTTCACTTCTAATTCTTCGAAAGTTCCTTGATTTTCTTGGGGGGCCAAGATCCTTTCATGTCTGATTGCTCCAACCTGGGCCTCTTCCTGGCCACTGGGGGGCCAGGAACGGTTAGTAACGAGCACGATGCACGATTGGAAACGAACGACGTGTGCGGGTTCCGAGCCAGGGCCCCGCAAGCCGGGGCATACAGTCGGGGCGCTGAGGAAGGAACCCTTTTCGTTGGGGAGGGGCTCGGCGTTCCCTAGTTGTTTTGCAGTTCGCCTTTGGTTTTGCTTGGGGTTTCGATGGGAAATCGAAGTTTATCTCATGGGAAAAAGGGGCCTCGTTCCTTATTTAGGGTTCCTGAGGTCAACGCCCCGACTGCACCGCAGGCCAGGACCCTGCCAGGGCCCGGCAGGAGAGGGCGCGGACCGCGGAGGACGCTCGCACCCACGGCTGCAGCGGCTTCTTCCTGGGCGCGCCGAGCTGCCCTGGCTCGTCAAGAAGCCTGACGTCGGGCGTGTCCCTCTCGAGGGGGGATGTTCAACAAGAATCCCCAAAAATACTCGGGGGGCCATTTTTCGACCAGTTTGGACCACTCTTTGGCATGTCTTCGGGTATTCTACATCTGTCGCCCAACAATCCACCTGTGGGGGGGGACATGCCCGACCTAAAAGGAGTCCCATGGCGCCAACATCGCAGAGCGGATTCCGCTCGGGAAACGGCAGGGTGGGCCCGGGGTGTCCTGGAGAATGTCGCTTCGGATGTCGAGGTGAATGTAGTGCGGATTTTTCTTGGCCAAGAATCAAGACCAAAACGAATCCGCGCGAAGTTCACGTCGCTTTTCGCTCGCCGCTCCGGGCAAAAGTCCACGCAGAAGTCTGCTGCAGGACTCCGCTGCAGCCCGTCTGCAAGGCTGGGGCAGTGAGGAATCCCCGCTTGCGGGGCCCCGAGAGAGCGGCATACCGACCTTCCGGGGCCAGGACGGCTACTGGGTGGTCGGCTCGAAGAACTATCGTCCACAGGAGCCTCGGCAGCGCCCGGAGGGCGGGTCTCCCCGACCCGACGATGCTCGCCGACTTCTGCGCGGGGCCGCGGTCGAGCCGCTCACGCGCCCCTCAGGGGCGAGTCCTCTGCTCCAGGGACGGCGTTCGATTTGATTCGGCCTTATGAAGTTGCGCAAGCGGTTCGATCGATCTGTGATGATGATGATGATGATGATGATGATGATGATGATGATGATGATGATGATGATGATGATGATGAAGATGATGATGATGATGATGATTATGATGATGATGATGCTGATGATGATGATGCTGATGATGATGATGATGATGATGATGATGATGATGATGATGATGATGATACTGATGATGATGATGATGCTGCTGATGATGCTGCTGCTGATGATTTTGATGATGCTGGGTGGGAGTGGTGGTGATGATGATGCTGATGACGACGATGCTGATGATGTTGATGATGATAATGGTGATGAAGGGGAATAATAAGATTAAACATAATAACAGCAATAATCATAGTACTTTTATCAATAAGACGAAGACGAACCATAATACAAACGCAGAATAATATTATTAATGCTAATACGAATAAGAATACTAAGATTACTAATAAGCAGACGAACAATACTGATACCAATAATAATGAAATACAAATAATAATACTAATACTAATACTATTACTAATACTACTATTACTACTACCTCTACTACTACGACTACGACTACGACTACTACTACTACTACTACTACTACTACTATTACTACTACTATTACTACTACTACTACTGCTACTACTATTAATGCAAATATTAATACCAATTTTTGAAAGTACTGAGAAGAAGACAAAGACGAATCATATGACTCATCATAATAGTTCTATAATCAGTATAATATTACAAAGAATAATCAGACTAATACTTATACTACTAATAATACTACTACTAATATACTAAGAAGAATAAGACTAAGAAGTAGGAGGAGGAGGAGGAGGGGGAGGAGGCGAAGGGAGGAGGAGGAGGAGGAGGAGGAGGAGGAGGAGGAGGAGGAGGAGGAGGAGGAGCGAGGAGGAGGGGGAGGAGGAGGAGGAGGGAGGAGGAGGAGGAGGAGGAGGAGGAGGAGGAGGAGGGAGGGAGGGAGGTGGAGGGGAGCGGGGGAGGGAGGAGGGAGGAGGGAGGAGGGAGGAGGGAGGGAGGGAGGAGGCGAGGAGGGAGGGAGGAGGGAGGAGGGAGGAGGGGCAGCCCCTGGGGCAGGGCGAGGGAGGCGGCCTGCCGAGAGGGCCAGCAGCCCCCCCTGGAAGAGCCTCCCTGCCTTCCAGCGGGGCCTCCCCTGACGCCTGCGGCCTTCGACCCCCTGCGCAGAAGACCCCCCTGCTCAGCATGCCGCTCCCTCGGCGTCACCCCAACATACTTCTACTATATGGCGCGTGCCCCCCCCCCCCCTTCCCCGGGGCGACGCGCGCATCGAGGAATCTGATAGTATATGCGTCGTGGCGGGCACTTGCTGGCCACACCGCTCGGGAAACGATATACTACAAGAAGAGTATACTATATGTTCGAGTCGGACGCGCGCCTCCAGGGAGGACATATAGTGTTAGTATGTCTTTGTGCGTCCCACTCCCCCCAGACCTCCTCGCGCAGTAAAAAAATCACGACGGGAGGTCTTTCGCTATTTTCGGCCTCGGGGGGCCCTCGCCGGGCCCTGGGGCCGTCACAACACGACTCAGGGCGAAAAAAACTGGTCCCGGGGAAGGGGTGAAGAACTTTGGGTGTCGACGCTGCGAAAAAATCACGACGTCGGGGGTCTGGGAAGCCCCCCCCGTTGGCTCAGCTTGCCGCTCCCCTTGCCTCCCTCCTTGCGAGCCGCCGCCATGAGCTGATGCCTTCGCTGCTCCTGCTGCTGCTGCTGCTGCTCCTCCTCCTCGGCAGCGGGGGGGCGGGCGGGGGCCGGCGGCTGGGCGGCTGGCCGGCAACGTTGCCGCCCGCAGGAGCTGGCGACGTGGGAGAAGTTCAACGAGATGCCGGAGGAGATCTGGCGCTGGTTCCAGTATCGCTGGGGCGTGTGCCGAGCGGCGAAGCCAAACAGAGGGCACCAGGCCTTGGTGGAGCTGGAGGGCCTGATCAGCATGACGCTGGTGACCCAGAATATCGATGGCCTACACGTGCAGGCAGGCTCCAACCCTGACCGCATCTGCGAGATCCATGGGAGGATCGACGAGATGCGCTGCGACGATAGAGTTGAAGGTTCCTGCCTGCACGGCCTCGACCTGAACGACCCCGCCAACGGTGAGAAGGCGCGGGCCACAGTGGTCAAGTCCCCAGCGCCCGCTGCGAAGCAGGAGAATGAGCGCCTCCCGTCGTGCTCGCGCTGCGGCAAGCGGCAGCGCCCCAAAGTCCTGTGGTTCGACGAGAGCTACAACCAGGCCCTCTACCGCAGCAAGACCGCGCTGCGGGCCGCCGAGGAGTGCGACGTGCTGCTCGTGGTCGGCACGCAGCTGACGACCGGGCTGCCACAGCGCATGGTCGCGGCGGCCCGGAGCGCCGGAGCGCTGCTCGTCTGCGTGGACCCCCTGGTGGAGCTCGCGGACCCGGCCTTCGCAGGCGCTCAGCTGCCTTGAGACGCAGGATCTGAGACGCAGCACGCACCGTTTTTTCACGACGTGCGTGCCAACACGTGCTGGCCCACGTCTCTTGTCGAACGTACATGGCGCCAGTCCTATACGTTCTCGGTCCGCGCGTGGAGCTCCGTGCCCACACGCTGCAGGTTGTGTGCTGCGTGCGGTCAACCCGCATAGTGAGGATGGGCAACCTTCCCCAGGCTGCCCTTGCATCCTTGCCCCTTCGGCCCATCCTGAGCGACTCTTGCTGGCCAGCCTCGCTCGAACAACGTTAGCATTCAATCGGGCCTGTCCCTCTACAGGAGGGACATTCAAATATGGTAAAACAATAGTATGGGGACGATTTTTTGTTAAAATTTGTGTTTGGCCATTTTGGACTATGCCTGGGGTATTTTTTACAGCGTTTCGTCCAAAATCCCCCTGTAGGGGGACATGCCCGACCCAACGTCAGCATGGCCCTCCGAGGCCCCCGCACCCTCGCCGCGCCTCCTTGCAATCACGGGTTGCCTGCGTCGGGGCAGCCGAGCGCAGGCATGCTCCACCTCCGCGACGAGAGCGGCCGCGCGCTGCCGAGGCTGCTGGCGGAGCTGCGCGCGCTGCAGGCGGAGCCGCTGCCGGCGCCGCTCGCCGCCGCCGCGGGGCCCCGCGGCCCGGAGGCGGCGGGCGCCCCGGCGCCGCCCCGGGCCACCGCTCCCGCGAGGGCGGCCTCCGCCACGGCCTCGGCGTCTGCTGCTCGCGCGCTCGGCGAGGGGGACGAGGAGGAGGAGGGGGAGGAGGAGGAGGAGGAGGAGGAGGAGGAGGGAGGAGGAGGAGGAGGAGGAGGAGGAGGAGAGGAGGAGGAGGGGGAGGAGTGGAGGAGGAGGAGGAGGAGGGAGGAGAGGAGGAGGGGAGAGAGGAGGAGGAGGAGAGCTCGGGATCGCGCGGTCGCCGCCCTCCGTGGTCGGTGCGGCCTGCTCGCGGGCTCCTGCGAGCTGGAGCGCTCGTGGTCGAGGCGTGGTCGGCGGGGCAGCCGTCGCGAGCGGGCGGCGCGATCGGATCACGCGATCGGGCGGTGTGGCCGGCCGAGGGCTCACGCGGGGCTCGAGAGCTAGACAGCGTTTCGGCGACTTCGTGGACCTCGATGCCGTCTTCGCAGCAAGGGCAGCACGAAGGCAGAGCGACGGAACACACCTCAAAACGACAGCTGAGAACACTGCAGGCCGAGAACCCAGGAGGCTCTCGGAGCCTTCCGGAGCGCTCCGAGAAGGCCGCGGCGCGCGGGAGACGCGCTCCAGCGCCGCCGGGCCCCTCAGGGAGCCCCGATGCTCTGCCCTCGCCCGAACTTCCTCCTCGCCCAGGGCTTCCTCCCGCGAGTGATCCGCCAGACGCCGAGGCCGCGGCCCGTGCCCCGCAGGCGGTGGCGCCGTCGGCCCCGCGCGGCGGCGGCCCCCGCCGGGCCGCGGCCGCGCCCGCGCCCGGGCAGCGGGGGCGCCCGCGGGCCCACCGCCCCCGCGCCAGGCGGCACTCGGTCGGCCCGCGCCGCCTGCGGGGCCGCGGCGGGGGCAGCGGCGTGGCGCCGGCGGCGGGCGGGCACCGCAGCTCCACCCGCTGCCGGGCCACTCCCAGAGACCCGACGCTCCGAAGGATCGGGGGGGCACACGAAGGGTGGGGTGGGTAAGGGGGGGGGGTAAGGGAGGGGGGGTTACGAAATCTGCTGCATGCAGCTGGTTTCAGCCCCACCGATGGGCCCCATTCCTCGATGCATGGCCGCCTCCGGCGCCGGGGGGCGCCGGGAAAATCAGCTACGTGAGCTGATTCTCCCCCCCCCCCCTTTGCGATCCCCCCCTTTCGCCCGGCCCGAGAAGAGTTGGAGCGGCGGGTTTGGGCTCGGGGTCGTCAGAAAGCGGCTCAGGACGGAACACGGGCCCTGGGGAAGTGGTCCAGACCTCTGGAGACCACGCATCGGAAAAAGTGGAGCGGACGGATGTCTGGGCTCGGGTCAGGAACAAATGTCGACGGCAGGTTCTTTGGTATTTTCGGCTTCTGGGGGCCCTTGCCCAGCCTCGGGGTCGTGAAGATGCGACGCGGGACGAAAAACATCGGTCCGGGGGGATGGGCCGAGGCCTCCCTGGGGTCGACGCTGCGACGAAACCATGACCTCGGGGGTCTCTCGGCCCGCAGGGGAGCGCGGGCCACCCGGCGGGCTTCTTCGTGTACGGCACGCTCCGGCCCGACGACGACTCCGGGGCGGGGTGGGCCGCCGCCTTCCGCGCTGGCATGGAGGCCGAGGCCGCGGTGCTGGCGGGCGCCTCGCTGTACCTGGACGGGGGCTACCCGTCGGTGTGCCTGGAGCACACCCGCTGCGAGGTGCGCGGAGTGCTGCTGAGGCCGCTGGGGGGCTGCGACGTCCAGGCCGCGATGTCCGAGAAGCTCGCCGAGGCGGACAGGATCGAGGGGTACCCCGGCCTGTACCACCGCGACGTGGTGCTGGTCAGCGTGGCAGAGGGGGGGGGCGCGCACCGGAAAGAGCTGGCCTACCTGTACCACCGCACGGGCCGCACGGACCGCGAGAGGTGTGCCTGTATCGCGGACGGCGACTGGCTGTCGCGGAGGCGCCCCGACACCTGAGTGCTCGACGGAGGCCGGCCTGTACAGCCCCGGCCACGCCGCTCGGCCGTCGGCGGTCCCAGAGGCTACACGAGAGCCGTCGCTCACTGCACAGTTGGGGCGACTGCTGCTGCTGTCCTTTGCCTCCGGGTACCGGTTAGGCTCCGCCAGGCGCTTGCCAGGCCCCTGCTGGGATCCTTTCAGGCTCGTCGCTGGCACCGCCACCATTGTCATGTCGATGACGCCGACAAAAGAACGTCATCAAGGTGAGAAGAAGAGCAGCGCACCTCCCAGAACCTAGGTGGCGTGATACCCCTCGCCTCACATTTCTTTGTCAGTCACGATCGCCATTACGTTTACCGCCGTCTTCAGTAGCAGCAGTCCGTTGTATCATCGTCATCTCTCACTTCATCAGCATCAGTCCTCATTAACGTCGCCAGCACCATCTTCACCATTCGACAGTGAGTGAGACAGGGTCAGATGCATGAGTACACAGAACTGTGATACTGGTGTAGTCAGGGTGCTCCGCTCGGGCAGTTTCGTCGTGCATTTTGGCGCATATGGCCACCCTGCACATCCTTGCCGTTTGTGGCATCGATGCGCGGCACTACACTTGTGCCTGTGATTCAGAACCCCACTCACTTCGCCTTGGTCCATCGTTTCTTCGGCATCTTCAAGGAGGTTTGCCCAGTTTCCCAGCCCCCTGCTCATGTCCGAGACTGCACGCGCGATGCCGGTCCAGAGCCCGCTCGAGATTGTGCCGGGCAGCTGGCCCAGGTCTTATTTTGCTCCCATTGTAGGGGGCGGTGGAGTCAGGGAGTGGGTGTATATTCATGCTGGGATCCTTTCAGGCTCGTCGCTGGCACCGCCACCATTGTCATGTCGATGACGCCGACAAAAGAACGTCATCAAGGTGAGAAGAAGAGCAGCGCACCTCCCAGAACCTAGGTGGCGTGATACCCCTCGCCTCACATTTCTTTGTCAGTCACGATCGCCATTACGTTTACCGCCGTCTTCAGTAGCAGCAGTCCGTTGTATCATCGTCATCTCTCACTTCATCAGCATCAGTCCTCGTTAACGTCGCCAGCACCATCTTCACCATTCGACAGTGAGTGAGACAGGGTCAGATGCATGAGTACACAGAACTGTGATAATGGTGTAGTCAGGGTGCTCCGCTCGGGCAGTTTCGTCGTGCATTTTGGCGCATATGGCCACCCTGCACATCCTTGCCGTTTGTGGCATCGATGCGCGGCACTACACTTGTGCCTGTGATTCAGAACCCCACTCACTTCGCCTTGGTCCATCGTTTCTTCGGCATCTTCAAGGAGGTTTGCCCAGTTTCCCAGCCCCCTGCTCATGTCCGAGACTGCACGCGCGATGCCGGTCCAGAGCCCGCTCGAGATTGTGCCGGGCAGCTGGCCCAGGTCTTTTGGGCGAGTCCTGTAGGGGCCGGTGGAGTCAGGGAGTGGGTGTATATTCCTGCTGGGATCCTTTCAGGCTCGTCGCTGGCACCGCCACCATTGTCATGTCGATGACGCCGACAAAAGAACGTCATCACGGTGAGAAGAAGAGCAGCGCATCTCCCAGGACCTAGGTGGCGTGATGCCCCTCGCCTCACATTTCTTTGTCAGTCACGATCGCCATTACGTTTACCGCCGTCTTCACAGTAGCAACAGTCCGTTGTATCATCGTCATCTCTCACTTCATCAGCATCAGTCCTCGTTAACGTCGCCAGCACCATCTTCACCATTCGACAGTGAGTGAGACAGGGTCAGATGCATGAGTACACAGAACTGTGATAATGGTGTAGTCAGGGTGCTCCGCTCGGGCAGTTTCGTCGTGCATTTTGGCGCATATGGCCACCCTGCACATCCTTGCCGTTTGTGGCATCGATGCGCGGCACTACACTTGTGCCTGTGATTCAGAATCCCACTCACTTCGCCTTGGTCCATCGTTTCTTCGGCATCTTCAAGGAGGTTTGCCCAGTTTCCCAGCCCCCTGCTCATGTCCGAGACTGCACGCGCGATGCCGGTCCAGAGCCCGCTCGAGATTGTGCCGGGCAGCTGGCCCAGGTCTTTTGGGCGAGTCCTGTCTTGACCATCGCCGTTCCTGCACAGGGTCTGGCTTGAAGGAGGAACACTTGCTTTGCAAAAGGGGCTAGGTCGTTCCTTTGGTTTGTATTCGTTCCGCTACCTTTTTGGCGGCGAATCACCCTGTTTGTGTTTGTGTCTTTTTTGTATCTGTGGGTTTTTTTGGTGGTTAGGTATGTTTTTTGTTTTGTTTATGGTTTTGTGTTTTGTTTGTTGTGTTTGATGTGGTGTTCTGTTTTGTGTGTGTGGTTTTAATTGTATTGGTGTTGTTTCGTTTTGGTTTAGTTTTTGCATTGGTGTTAGTTGTTTTGTATTGGGCCTTGAGTTTTGTTTTTTAAGTTTTTGTGATTTGTTATTATGAGCTTTTGGTTGGTTTTTCTTTTTCTTTGGTTGTATGGTTTGGTCTTGCTGTGGTGTTCCTTTCGAACTTCGTAGACTTACTTGGAGCAAACATGGGCTTCGTTCCTTATTTATCGTTCCTTAGGTCAGGCCGAATTCTGTAATTCAGGGGCAGCTCGTGGCCACCCGCACTGCGTCATTCGGCCCCTCGCCCCCGCACGACACCGCACGGCACAGCGGACACTGGGCGGGCACAAGAAGGGGGGGTTCCACTGGATTCCCTTCGGGGATCATCCGTTAACATTGGAACGATACAGGGAAGATTAGCATGGCCCCAGCGCAAGGATGTCACGCACACATCGAGAAGTGTATATATAAATATATAGATATTCATTTTTCATTAAAAAAAGAAGGGTGGTTCCACGTTCACCCTGCTGGAAGACGCTTAACACCATCTCGAGGTCGAAGACGCCACACGCGACGGCACTGCCGGCTCGGCCTGCCCAACACGGCCGCCAGCACGACCTCTGGCATATGGCGTCCTCGGCGCGTGCAGCACGGCATTCTCTCGGTACGGCACCAGCGGCACGGCACGGCCGGCGCAACGTTCAGAATGGCACGCGCTCTTCGCATGGCGCTCTCAGCATGACCGTCGGCACAGGGTGCAAGGCGTGGCGCGCAAGACACTCGCAAGACACTGTGCGCAGGTTCGATAGCGCCTGTGGGTGCCATCGAGCCTGCTCGAGGGATCAGCCGCCAGCATGAGCGCCTCCGAAGGGACACTGTGCAGTGGTGCAGCTTTGCGCCGTGGGGCCCGCTTCAGAAGTCTGATAACCCTCGTGAGGTCCTCTCGGCCCTGCTCGGCAGCCCTGAAATTGTCAGCGCCGAACATGGGGGGCTCGGGTAGGTCACGAAGCTGGTCAGCCTGAAAGCTAGCGAAGCTCTCGACAGGGAGTGCTCGAAATCCGCCAGCTGGCCCATCCTGGGCAAAATACTCTCGAACTTCATCTGACCTCTCTCGGAGCAAACTCTGTAGCCACATTATATCTGCGCTTACGTAGTCCCCGACATTGCCCCGCCAGTGAGTGGGCTAGCCTCCAGACTTCAGCGTGACGTTGCCCTTGCCAAGCATCCTGGATTTCTAGAACGAGTTGCTCCGAGACAGAGTCAAAACGGGCACGACGAAGAGGGCGAAGCTGCCGAGTGCAACGTGCCAAAAACTAGTGCCGTCGCCATGCCGTCGTCGCCAATGCTGCGCTGGTGCCGACGGAGAGCCCGAAGCCGTCGTCGTCCTTGGGCATGCAGCTTGGCCTGCGGGTCTGCCGTCGCAGCTTTGCCCAAGTGGCGTTCAGCTGCCTCACAGACCGTAGTGGCCCCACCTCTGCCAGGCAGCATCGGGCGCCGCCGCGTTCAGCAGCATCTCGTGCCACTCGGGCTGGCCCCCGAAGATGGCTTCGAGCTCGCGTATGAAGCCCGCTGCGCCCCTGCCGTGCCGCAGAGCCCGCGCCAGGGCGTCGCAGCTCCATCGCGCCCCCGCTGGGCGCGACCACGACACGTCGAAACTGTGTGCTGTCTGCAGTAGTAGCGGTACGTGGTCCTGAAGGCCTCGGTTGGCCACCAGCTTCGACCGAAGAACCGCCCGTCGTAAGCCCCGACATGCAGATGCGAGGGAGCGTTGCCACTGAACAGCTGCCACGTAGTCAATTGCACTCGAACTCACATGCCCAAATAACGTATCCCCGGCACAGTACTCCATCGATGTTATACCGACGCCATGCTTCTCGCACGGCTCTTGAACTCGATCATCTGCGTAATGTTGCTCGCCTCGTCCGCAGGCTCCGAGGGAGGCAGACTCGATCTCTTCACAACTGTTGCCACCTCCAGCCCGACGCCGACGCCCAAGAGAATCGTTCAAGTCGAAGCCCCAGAGCAGTGTGAACCGCACCCTCGCCCGTGTGAACCATGTCTCAAGCCACGTTTACATACAGTCGACGGTGCTGCGACACTTGCGAAAAGGGCCGTCCTCCGACTCTCGTCCTTCTCTTCTGAGACGGCCCTCGGTGGAAAATACGCGGGCGGAATCCATCTATCAAATCTTCCTGACCGTATACGGTGCAGAGCCACCCGTCCTTGCACTTGGCATGGAACTGGGGGAGAGTCGACGACATGACGCTCGCGAAGCTTCTGACGCCCGAGAAGGAGAGCCCAGCCACAGGCCTTGGTCACGTACCTGCCTGCGACGTACCCATGATGTATGGCGAAGTGGTGAGGTAGCTGATTGACTGTACATGCCTGCTCACCTGCTCGCTCGCCAGTGCCTGAAAGTGCGATATGATGTCAGTATGCTTGAACTCCAGCGAGATATCACAGAGCCGCGACTCGTTTGCCGCCATGGAGTTCCAGTGAACATTATGGGGGGGGGCTGTCGCATCGATCCCTCAGAGCCGCAAGCCACTCGTCATGGCAGCACCAACAGCAAAATAACATACTCCAGACTTCGAGATTTCGTTAATAAAAGGGAGGGGTCTAACCCTCCAGACGAGAAGTTTTAGACCCCCCCGTCGGTCCAAAACCTCAAAACAATCGTCCCAGAACCCCCCGAGGCCCTCCAAGATAAGCCTGGAAGAGACCCCCGAAATTGAGACCCCCCTCCCTTTATTCTGAAATCTGGAGTACAAAATCGCCAGGCCCAGCTCGCGAGAAGAAAAACAAAAGCATGCGGCGGCCTGCGTGGGGGCCGCAACCCTGGCGCGATTGACCGGCGCCCGAAAAAGCTCTGGGGCTACCCTGCTCAGTGGTGGTCACCTGAGCGCGCTGGGAACAACTGAAGAGCACGAGGAATGAGGAGGGACGAGGGGAGGAGGAGGAGGAGGAGGAGGAGGAGGAGAAGGAGGAAGTGGGGAGGATGATGGGGGGGGAACCGGAGGAGGATTAGGTTAGGAGAGGCACGTCACTAGACCCGCCACCTCGATGGTGGGGAGGGGGACGAGCCTCCTCAAGCCTGACCGCTGAGGGGTGCCGATGGGGAGCCCAGCAGCGCGCGCCCCCGCCAGGCCCGCTGAAAAGACTCATCGGCACGGTGAAGTCGCTGTTCGGGAAGCGCCGCGGGCAAGTCCTCGACGTGGCCCCGCGGGCTCTGCTCGGGCCAGCTCCTGTCCACAGCCGCCGTTCGTGCACGCCAGGGCAGATCCGTGCACCCGAGTGCGCGCGTGCACGCGCGCCCACCTGCCGTGTCCGCTGCCCGTCCGCGCTCTTGGACGCCCTGGCATGCGCTGCCCGAGCTCCTCCCCGTACCGCTCAGTGCCCCCTCTGCCCAGGTGTCGAGTGGGGGACCGACTACAGAATCGGTTTGCCCCGGAATCCATGTCTCGCCGAATTTACGGAACATGCTCAGAAGACCCGGTAGGTTTGCTAAACTTCGACGTCTTCGTTGTAGGTTCGATGGGGCACATCAGTTTTGGGGTACTACATCAATCCTGTCATCGACCCCCTGCTCGAAGGTGCCCTCGCACGAGCTTGGGCCTGCTTGCTGCACGGCTCCCGTGCGGTGGCCTGCGCAGGGCACGGCCCTGCCCGCCTCCCGGCGTGCCGGCTCCTGCCCGCCCGCCCGCATTGCCCTCCTCGTGCGCGGGCCCCAGAGGTCCCGGCCACGCGCCGAGGTGCGGCGACGGCCCACTCCCAGCGGTTCATGCCATACCTCGGAGGAGGAACCACGTGCCAAGACCTTCACCCCCCGCCCATTTTTTTGCCGTTCTGGGCCTCCTGGGAGGCTGTCATCGCCACCGCTGGATTCGCCTCGAAGTCCTGGTCAGAACGCACCCCAGGAGAGGTCCGGAGAGTAGCGGTACCGGTACCTTTCGGTTTCCCCAATGCCATCTTTTTTTTCTACCGCTCTCCCACCTTCGTCCTGGGGAGCCGCGGCCCTCGCCGCACTTACACCGGCTCCTTCCTCCCTCTGCCTCTCTTCCTTCTTGCTTTCTCTCCAGATGGGTCGGCAGCTCCCTCCGCCTCTCTTCCTTTGCTCTCTCTCTCTCTCTCCAGATTTATTGGCCGAGGGGCTGGGGAGGCAGGGAGGCGCGGTCGTGGGCATGCGGTGGCAACTGAGCAAACAGCGCAGCGCCAGGCGGGAGCGTCATCGCCGCCTCCACCCCCGAGCAGTACTCCAGGATCAATCACGGTGAGCTCTTTGCAGACTCTGGGTCAGCCTTTTTGTGGAGACTATGCGGACCAGGCCGTGCATGCCGCCGTGTTTGCCACAGTCGGTTGGGATTGAGGATATCCCTGGGCTAATTTTCCGTACCTACAACCGATGGAATATTGATGCCAGTGGAAGCGTAGGGCGCGTTTGTAGGTATCGGGCTGTCTTTGAGGCTATCTCCCCGCTCTGATCATCGATGCATCCGTAGCCCTTTTGATAATGATGCATGGGCGCAGTCCTAGCATCCCCAGCCGCCGCACCCTCATGTCCACTCCCCCTCTTTTTTAAAAGAGTAGCAAGCGCGGTGTCTCTCCAGCGCCTCAGCTTTTATCGAGGGAGGACGTTCCAACAACCCATGCCGAACCCATACCCAGCACAGCATATTTCGTTGTGTCGAACGCGAGCGTTCCAGTAGCGCATGGCGCTTGCTCCAGCACTGCCTTTTTACCGAGCGCGAGCCGTCCTGCTGCAGTTCGAGGAGATCGCATGGGTGTGACGTCGCCGTCGCCGTCGTCGCTGCCGTGACCATCACCACCAAGATCGTCGCCGTCGCGGCTCTCGCCGTCGCCGCCGTCGCCCTTGCCGTCGCCGTCGCCGCCGTCGTCGTGGCCGTCGCCGCACTTGGTGCTCGTCGCCACCCTTACCAGTCGTCTTGGAGGCCTCTTGGTCTCGTTTGGGAGCCTTTGGTGTTCTTATTTTGGGGGGGAAGGTACTCTTTCGGGCCGCCGGGGCCCTCCTGAAGCCATGAGGCCATCGATCAACAGAAGTGCTCTTGGGTCGTCCTTGTGGGGCCTTCGGGGCCGCCTGGGAGCGCTTCTGGGCCTCCTTGGGGCTTTTTTTGAGCGATCTTGGAGCCGCCTTGAGGCATCACACGCCGACCAGACGCGAACATGCAAGAAGGCAACAACCTCGAGCGGTGTTGCTCGCGGAGGCGTCGCGAAGCGGCGCCCTCCACACCATTGCTATTCATTCGATCGTTCATGCCATCATGGGGTCGCTTATGAATTCGGAACATTGAGTTCTGGGCAGGGGGAAGGCAGGGTCCATTTCGATCCGACCGATCCGATTCGATGTAGGTTTGGACCTGCCCGATCCGATTCGGCTTCGATAAGTCTGACGATCCGATGCGGCCCGATGCTTGCCTGGCGCCGTTGTGTGCATCCTGGCGCGATGCGATTCGACTCCGACTCTGTGCCGATGCAGCCCGATGCGATGTACAGTCGGGGCCCTGAAGAAGGAACCCTTTTGGTTGGGGAGGGGCTCCGCGTTCCTTAAGTGTTTCACTGCTTGCCTCGGGTTTTCCGTAGGTTTTCGATAGCAAATCGAAGTTCAACTTATGGAAAATAGGGGCCTCGTTCCTTATTTAGGGTTCCTTAGGTCAGCGCCTCGACTGAGTGCTGACCCTGGAAAAGAGGAATGGGGGACAGCCGATCATCTCACACGCCTTCTCACCCCCAGCAGGTGGGCGTCGGGAGAGACCCTGGGGAACGCCCGGGTAGTTCCGGTGGCCGTCTGGGAGCCCTCTTGGGGCGGTCTCGGGCAGTCTTGCGGGGTCCTTAGGCCCGTCTTCCGTTCAGGGGACTCATTGAGGCTCTGAAGGTCTCCCGAGGCGATCTGACGCCGAAACGCCCTGGGAGCAATCATGATGCGGTTTCCATTCTGCTTTTGAATGCCTTTCCTCTCCTAGGGCCTCGCTGCGGGCCTCTTTGGTGTCTCTTGGAGGCTTCTTGGGGCCTCTTGTGGCATTGTGAGAATACCTTGAAGCACACTCGGCGCTGCCCCCTGCGCTGCCTGTCCAGCATACTCGGCACAGGACCTCGGGGTCCACCTCACGGGCACGGTGAGGGAGCCGTAGGATCGGTTAGAGTGTGAGCTCAGCAGGCTGCACGGGTTGCTCATGCATCCTGGCATCTTGGAAAAAAAAACCTTGAAGCCTTTTGGGGCTATTTGTACCGACTTTGGATATTGTGTCGTCGTGCTGCCGTTTTGGGAACGGGCTTTAGTCATTTTGGACCCGTCTAGAGGCAGACAACGGCGCCGGGTAGCAATGTTTTGGGGGGGATTCTCTAGGTACGCTTGCGATGGGGGAGGGGTATCGCCCCTGGTAAACTACGGACATATTACAAGCACAACGAGCAAACATTCGAACACTCATGTGTGGCACACGCGTGCTGGCCGATGTCATCGATACAGGCGTTCAGAAGGGCAAGTCAATTCGATGGCCAATGCTGAGCCAGGGCGGTGAGATACAATTCAGAACAGTGGAGCAGTGGACATCAGCTAAGCAGTTATTGAGGACGACAGCGTGGTGACATTACACAGGCCCAAGCGGTGCTGCAACGCTAGAGGAATTCGATAACATCACCTGGACGCATGAATTGGAATCTCCAGTTGTGTAGCGCTCAGCATAATAATCTACTCAGGCGGCGATGCAGCGAAGCAGACGTGTATCATAGCGGTGGCACCAAGCTCGAAATGGTGGGTCTTGGTGCAAATGCCTCGACAATAGAGCAGAGTGCCATTGCGGGCCCACGCTAGCGAACGACAATCACATCTTTTGACCGATAGACAATACTCTATGACAGCCAGAGGCCATTGCACAGAAACGAAGACGAGATGCAAGAAGCAGAGCAAACTGACAATATGTAGAGCACCGCACTATAGGTCGTCATTATTTGGAGTAGGTTGTGACATACGTATCTAACGCGAGTTCGAGAATGGACTTGCAACTCGACCCAGCGAGCCGAGACACCGAAAATCATGGGTGGCCTGATGGCATTGTATTCACGTTGCAGCTGGACGGTGCAAATTAGGTTTCAAATATAATGGTTCGCCATGTTAACGCGGATTGGCACATCAGTGTCTCTCTCCCAGCTGCTTCACGTATTTCCCACTCGGTCCTCGTGAGTCGTACATGTGACCCTCAGTTGATCTTTGGACTCCATCCTTTCTCGATGTCTGTGTCGACATGTATGTCTTCAGGCGTGAAAGATCTGGAGGAAAGTTTGCCAGGAGACACACTGTGCCGTGCCAGCCTCGGCTGACGACTGGGTTCGCGTGGGGGCACCTTCTGGGACTAGGGGGCCTCAGCGTCCCAGCCGCTCCTGTTCCTGACAAGTCACCCCTGTAATGCGACACAGGGGTAGATGAGAGAGTCGAACGTGGACCAGCTTCCATTCTTTTTGCAGTCATTCTGCCCTCCCAGTGTTTGCACCGCAAGTCTCCTTACCTGCCTTCCGCGCAGTTGGGTGAGCTTCCCGGGCTTGCGCCCGGCAGCCGCCCGGCAGCCGCCCGTGGGCGCCTCCTGGGGCCGTGCGCTGGCTGGATTCCCCCTGATTTTCCGGAAACTGGAACATATACATGACCAGTGGCGGGCCGTTTTTCAATCCTACGATTTTTCGAGTGTCGGGGACGACGTCGGGGTGGTCTGGTGTACACCTTTTCCCCGTTCTCGCGGGGAAACAACGAAAAATGTATACACCAGGATCCCGTATGCACCAGGATCCGCGTTCCTGTGCGAACCTCAGCGCAGGGTCGGAAAAGGCGTCGGTGTATAGAGCTCGTTCCCCTGATTCTCGCTCGGCTGCCGCCCGTGGGCGCCCGCGGTGTGCCCTCGCCGCCGGCGGGGGCCCCCCGCGCACGGCGCACGTCCTGGGGCCGCCTCGTGCGCTGGCGGGGCTCTCCCTGCTTGTCGCTCGGCTGCCACCCGTGGGCTTAAGTCGGGCCTGTCCCCCTACAACGGGATCTTCGACGACAAAATCAAAAGCACCCCCAAAATAATCAAGAAATAATGAAAAAATAGTCTGGGGTATTTTTGGGGTATTTTTTATTGGGGTATTTTTGGGGTATTGTTGACCTTTTTAGGGGTATGTTTAGGGTATTTCTTGACCTTTTTAGGGTATGTTTGGGTATTTGTTATTTTTCGTAGAAAATCCCCCTGTAGGGGGACACGCCCGACATAACCGTGGGCGCCTCGTGCACTGGCCGGGTGCCCCGCGGTGTGCGCCCCCTCGCCGCCGGCGGGGGCCCCCCCTGCGCGCCCCGTGCGTGCGGGGGGGGCTTGGGCTCTCTGCGGGCGCGTGCTCGCCCGGCGTCGCCGCCCGGGGTGCGCCTGGTGGCCGCCCTGGCGCGGGTACGCTGCCCACGGCCACCTGGTGCTGCTGCCAGGCCTCGGGAGAGCTTCGCGAGCACTCGTGCCTCCTCCTGCTCCTCCTCCTTCTCCTCCTCCTCCTCCTCCTTCTCTCCTCCTCCTCCTCCTCCATCTATCCTCTCCTCCTCCTCCTCCTATACATCTCACTCCTCCTCCTCCTCCTCCTCCTCCTCCTCCTCCTCCTCCTCCTTCTCCTCCTCCTCGTCCTCCTCCTCCTCGTCCTCCTGCTCCTGCCACATTCATGTGTCAATGGTTGGCGGTGGGTTGGACGAGGTGCACCTCCCGCGCGTGATAACTTGGAGTCTTGGAGGCGGGGGAGTGTCCACTGACTGTTTCCCTTCTCCCGTATTACGACCGCAGCTGGTTCGACGATTACTGCTGCTACCATTGCCACGTAGATTGCACCACATGGATTGCAGCACATAGCTTGACCGAAAGTGTTTGCCCCCCTCTACATCTGCCAACAACCCTAATTGCACCACGTAGATCGCATCCTGTATGCTTCACCCTCTAGATGGTTCCGCACATTTTGTTAATATTTTGCCTTACGTGGAGCGCACATCGAACGTGCACGAACCCATCGTTTTGATTACACGCTGGCAAACTTGTATTGCTTCTACCCTGTCCTTTCGATTCACTTCGTTGTTTCATTTCCTTGCTTTCGGCCTCTTTCCATTCTTCCACTTTGCCATGCTTCTTTCCGTCTCTCGTTGCAGCGCTCCCATCGCGGCACGATTATAGTTTGCCCTTGGTTGCGAGGGCGTAGAGCTTGACTTTCTCGGTCGGGATCCACAGCACGTGCTCGTACAATCGATGCATTGATTTTTGTCCGACCCTTTGAGTGTGGTCTTCGAATCAACCCGACTAGATTCCAAAGCAGATCGGCCCCGTTCATTAGTGTCCCTCAGATAACACGAGCATTTGAGAAGAACGTATCGAAGTAATCGAGGGATAAGATGCGAAACGTTGGGGCTGAACACCGCATGACCAGGGCCAGCTCATCAACGGCCGGCGCGTGTTCAGAAAGATGGGGCTTCCGGAGGGAAGCCAGGACAATCCCATCTTGGCTCTCTCTTTCCTGTTTGCTCTCTCTATCTCTCTGCATCTCTCTTTCTCTCTTTTTCTCTCTCTGTCTCTCTCTGTCTCTCTGTCTCTGGTTGTCTGCTCCACCGACGCTGTTCCTGCTCTTTCTGCATCTTTGCTGAAAGTTCCTGTCGCTTCGCGTATGCCCACCAACCTCAGCTCGGCGACTGCGAATCCGCGTCCGCCCGCGACCAAAAAAAGTATGCCCACCAACCCATCGAGCAACGATATACAGGCGAGATGCATTCATCAGGTAAGTGTGGGAGCACGCAGTGGAACAAAGAGGGGGACTAGCCGTCAAACCGAAGATCGGGATCAGCCTGAGAAGGCCCAGGAGTCCACCATAAATGCCTTCGCGGATCTTTCTCTGTGGGATCCTGTTGGCAGCCTTCATGGGCCATCTCAGGGCCATCTTGTAAGCCCTTGGGGCTCTCTCTCGGGGCCCTGTTGGGGGCCCTCTCGGGGCTCTCTTGGGGTCCTCTTGGGGGCCTTGGGGGCCGCCCTTGGGGCCACCTTGGAGGCCATCGATCAAAGAGTGGGGGGGGGAAGGAATACCGGTCCCCCATCAGAGGCCGCAGCATGGCTTCTCGGGGCCCTCTCGGGGCGCTCTTGGGGCGCTCGTGGGCGGGGCCCTCTGGGCCCCTCTTGGGGCTCTCTTGGGCCATCTTGGAGCCCTCCTGGAGTCATCTTGAGGCGTCAAGAGCATGTCGGGAGCGAACAGGCGAGAATGCACAAATCGTTGATTGTTCCAGGTTTTTGAAGGATTTGGGCTTCTCTGAGGGTCCTTGGGAGGCCCCGTAGCCACTTGGAGCTGTCTTGGGGCGGTCTTGGGGCCTCTAGGAGGCATGTGAGAGCCTATCTAGAGCCATCTTGGGCTATCTTGTACATTCTCTGATGCCATCTTGGGCTATCTGGGGCACTCTTGGGGCCATCTCGAGCCATCTTGGACGCTCCAACGGCCTGCGACCCCCTCCAGACCCAGGGAGAGGGGTAGGGGGAGAGGTAAACCTCTCCCCGAAGGTGAAAGGTTAGAATGACTGGCTCCCTAAACCACCTACGGCCAAAGGGCTGGTGGGATTCTTCTCTTGCTGTCCCCTGCCACGTTATACTGCTGCCTCTCACGATGTGCGTGGCAGCTCATGTGCCCCAGTGGTGGCAGTGCTGCTGCTCACTAGGAACCGCAACTGCGGATGCGAGTGAGGGGGCCGCCTTGCCGGGCCGCTGGGCTCGGGCGTCAATGTAAGGGAGCCCGACGATGTCGCCTGCTTTCGGAAAAGCAGCGGGCCCGCCGCAGGCGTATGTTTGGTTCTGCACAGCAGTGCGGGTGGATCGCGCGGCGGGTCGTCGTCAGGCTGCGCGGCTCGAGCTCGCTGTGAGGAAGCCCGCCGCAGGCGGCGAGCTCTTTGCAGATCACTGCGGGTCGATTCCGGGCGTGTCGCGGCAGGGCCTCGGGGCAGTCTCATGGTGGGTCAATGGTGGGTCGCGGGGTGATTCGCAGGTGGGTCGTAGGTGGGTCGCGTCTTTGGTCGCTGGTGGGTCGCCGACGCGTCGCAGGTGGGTCGCGGGTAGATCGGGTGTTGGGTCGGGGGTCGGTCATGGGTTGGTCGCGGGGTGGGTCGCGGATAGGTCGCGGGGTTGGTCGCGGGCGGGTTGCGGGGTGGGTTGAGGGTGGGTTGCAGGGTGGGTCGCTGGTAGGTCGCTGGTGGGTCACGGGTGGGTCGCGGGGCGGGACGGATTGCGTGTCGACCGCGACAAAACACCGACGATAATTCGCACAGCGGATTTTAGTTTCAGCCACGTACTCAAGGGTGGTGTAAGACCGTTCGTCCACCTCTTTCTGATAATGTTGCGGTGGTTGCTCACGGTAACGGCGACCTGGGTAACTGAGCTATGCGCATTGGCTAGTCGTGCCATGTATGCACACGTGCTTCCAGTTAACGTCAAGATGGTTTTGACGAGGCTCTGATTTGTCAATGTCGCAGAGCAGTGGTACAGACGTGGTGTTGTCTCGCGTGGAGAATCTGCTGCCTCCTGGCGTGAGAGTAGCTCCTGTGGCAGTTGACTGCGCCAGCATGTCTGCTTCACCCATTCAGCGTTGCTGTTTGCACATTGAGCTTGCCGTTTGTAGTGTTTTTTGTTGTGCGTTTGTATGTGCTAGTGCTCCTCCCTTTGAATGTTTATCTTGTTTCTCCCTGCTGGCTTGCATGTGTGCAGGCACCAGTTCCGTGTAGAAGGCCGCAGGAAGTTTCTGATCAGGCCGATTGACTCCCTGCGGGCTCGATCAGGTAGTTGTTGCATCGACAGAGCCAAAACAGACCGTCCTGCGCATTTCAGCCAAGAAGCAACTTCTTTATGTTCCGTTCTCGTAATTTGTGCTTGATTACGGTGCCTGTATTCCGGCGGTTGCGCAGCACAAACGGCTCATGTGGAATACCGAGGATGCCCGGTTCAACTGATACTTTAAATCGTGTGTTCGACAAGCTTGCGGTGGTCAACGAATTCGCTTCGCATAATAAGGTCAACTGTAGTTTAGTTGTTGCGGTTGTGGTGGGAGCAGCAGTAGTCCTAGTCGTCCTCGTCCTCGTCGTTGCGTCGTTGTCTTCGTCGTCGTTGTCGTCGTCGTCGTACTAACTGTAGTTATAGTGGTAGTAGTAGTAGTAGTAGTAGTAGTAGTAGTAGTAGTAGTAGTAATAGTAGTAGTAGTAGTAGTAGTAGTAGATATAAGGGTAGTAGTCGTAGTCAAATAGGTTTCAGTTTGTTAGTAGTAGCAGTATATTAGTATAGTAGTACTCCTAGTAAGTAACAATTATAGTAGTAGTAGTAGTTATTAGTAGTGTTTTAGTCGTATGTCAGTAGTAAAGTATCGTACAGTAAGTTAGTAATGGGCGTATACGTTCGTAGTTGTAGTAGTAGTACAGTACTAGTACGTAGTAGTATCGTCGTAGTAGTCGTTAGTAGTTGTAGTAGTTAGTAGTAGATAGTATAGTCGTAGTAGTAGTAATATTAGTAAGTGTAGTATAGTAGTAGTAGTTATAAGTAGTCGTAGTTAATAGCAGAGTAGTAGTAGTCGTCGTAAGTACATACTTAGTAGTATTAGTAGTAGTAGTAGTAGTAGTAGTAGTAGTAGTAGTAATAGTCGTAGTAATAGTGGTAGTTGCAGTAGTCGTACCAGTCGCAGTCGTAGTAGTCGTTGTACATGTAGTAGTACTGGTAGTCGGCGTCGTCGTGGTAGTTAGTGTTATCATGATTCGTAGTATTAGTGGTAAAAGTAGTATTATCATTATTAGTAGTAGTAGTAGTCGGAGTAGTACCAGTAGTAGTAGTAGTAGTAGTAGTAGTAGTAGTAGTAGTAGTAGTAGTAGTCGTAGTAAAAGTAGTCGTAGTAGTCGTAGTCGTAGTCGTCGTCGTCGTCGTAGTAGTAGTAGTAGTCGTAGTACTGGTCGTAGCAGCAGTTGTCATTGTATCAGTGGTCGTCGTAGGCGCTGTAGTAGTAGAAGTATTTTCATTAGTCGTAGTAGGAGTCGCAGTCGTAGTAGTAATCGTAGTGGTAGTGGCCGAGGTAGAGTAGTCGTTGTAGTAGTCGTAGTAGTAGTAGTAGTAGTAGTAGTAGTAGTAGTAGTAGTAGAAGTCGTTCTAGTAGTAGTAGTCATTGTAGTAGTATCAGTAGTAGTAGTAGTAGTAGCAGTAGCAGTAGTAGTAGTCAGTATAGTAGTAGTAGTAGTAGTAGTAGTCCGTATGTAGTAGTAGTAGTAGTAGTAGTAGTCGTAGTCGTAGTAATAGTTATAATAGTAGTAGTAGTAGTAGTCGTCGTCGTAGTAGTAGTAGTAGTAGGCGTAGTCGTCGTCGTAGTAGTAGTCGTAGTAGTAGTCGTAGTAGTAGTCGCTGTAGTTGTAGTCGTAGTAGTAGTCGTAGTTGTCGTAGTAGTAGTGCTAGTAGTAGTACTAGTCGTCGTCGTAGTTGTAGTGGCAGTCGTGGTAGTAGTAGCTGTAGTAGTATTAGTAGTAGTAGTAGTAGTAGTAGTAGTAGTAGTAGTAGTAGTAGTAGTAGTAGTCGTAGTCGTAGTAGTAGTAGTAGTAGTAGTAGTAGTATTAGTAGTAGTAAGTGGTAGTAGATGTATTGCCAAGTAGTAGTGGTAGTAGAATTAGTAAGTAGTCGAGTCGTAGTCCGTAGTCCGTAGTAGTAGTAGTAGGAGTAGTAGTAGTAGTAGTAGTAGTAGTAGTAGTAGTAATAGTAGTAGTAGTAGTAGTCGTAGTAGTCGTAGTAGCAGCAGCAGCAGCAGTCGTAGTAGCAGTCGTGGTAGTAGTGGTAGACATGCTACTAATAGTTAGTAGCATGGATAGTAGTAGGCGTAGTAGCTTCAATAACCGTACTACTAGCATGTGTAGCTCTCATCATCGTAGTACTATTGGTCGCATTGGTCGTACTCGCAATCGTAGTAGCTCTAGTTGTAAACGTTGTAGTAGTAGTAATAGTAGTAGTCGTCGTAGTAGGAGTAGTAGTAGTAGTAGTAGGAGTCGTGATAGTTCTAGAAGTCGTAATCGTAGTCGTAGTATTCGTAGTAGTTGTAGTAGTCTTAGTAGTAGTAGTAATAATAGTAGTAGTAGTAGTAGTAGTAGTAGTAGTATCACTAGTAGTTTGAGTACTAGTAGAAGTAACCAGCGTCGTAGTCGTAGTCATAGTTGTAGTGGTCGTAGCAGTGATCCTCGCAGTCGTACTCGTAGTACTAGTAGTCGTAGTCGTAGTAGCCGTAGTAGTATTAGTAATAGTTGTACCAGTAGTAGCAGTAGTCGCAGTAGTCGTGGTAGTAGTCCTCGTAGAGTAGAGGTAGTAGTAGTAGTAGTAGTAGTCGTAGTAGTAGTAGTAGTAGTAGAAGAAGTAGTAGTAGTAGTAGTAGTAGTAAAAGTAGTAGTAGTAGTAGTAGTAGTAGTAGTAGTAGTAGTAGTCGTATCAGTCGTAGTAGTAGTAGTA